GCCCACCAGCGCTGGCATGTGGTGCTGGGGGATCGAACCGCGGTCCCTGTGCTTTGCTAAGCCTGTTCCAAGTAGGTGCTTTAGACCACTGAGCCATCTCACCAGCCCCAAAGGAATAAGGGTTTTTTTTGTTTTGTTTTGTTTTTTCTCCTCGAATGCCTTCAGGGCACTTTTGGCTGGTTGGAGTGTTGTGGGGATCGAACTAGAGCAACCCGAGGCTGACAGCTTTGTGGAAGCAGTCACTTAAAGAACTGAGCTAGGGCCAGGTCCACTGTTAGAAAGCTTTTTAAAAAATATTTTTACTTTACCTTGGTCTTAACCATCCAGCAGAAAAGTATGAAGATGAAATTATAAGAAATAAAGCCATGCTGTTAAGTTGAGCTGTGGGGGACTCAGGTCAACAATTTCTGACATTGCCAGTTAAACAGAAGACCCAATGCTATTATGGGCTACTGGACTCTTTTAGAATATTTTGCTGAGTTTACACACCTATAATATTCAATAACGGAACTTAGAAAAAATGGGGTATACCTATGAATGTCCATTTTGTATCTGTGTATTCAAAGTGGTTGGGATAGATATATAGTTACATTCTGTTAATGAATAGAATGATTTGTTCTAATGGTGTTTGTAAATAGGATCACAAGTCCACATCTTGTACAGCAATTACCACTAAGAAGAATATATGCAGTGTATTATTTGTTGAAAAATAAAAAAAATATAAAAATAAATAAAAATAAAAAAAATATTTTTGGGGGGCTGGTGGGATGGCTTAGTAGAATAAGCACTTGCCTGGCAAGGGTCTGAGTTCAATCCCCAGTTCTGCCCCCCCCCCAAAAAAATATTTTTAGGGCTGGCCAAATAACTCAGAGGATTAAAGCACCTGCAAGCAGGTGCAGGGGCCAGGGTTTCAATCCCCAGGCCTCCGAGGCATGCTGAGACGGAAATTGAGACCGGGTGTGGTGCTTGCCTGTAATCCTAGCTCTTTTATATATATATATGTAGCTGTCTTATATATATATATGTAGACAGGGTTTCTAGTCCAGGCCGGCCTTGAACTCACTGTGTAGCCTAGGCTGGACTTGAACGCCTAGTGATCTTTCTGCCTCAGCCTCCTAAGTTGTGGGATTGCAGGTGCGCACCACCACGCCTGGCTCTTTAATCTTTTAGCCAATTCCCCTGAGTATGGAGGATACTTGCAGGGGATGGGACTGGGTTGGGGACCCTTGTATGCTTTAAGCAAAAATCCAATGAGTTTCATCAGTGTACCTGGCTTTGTGCTGTTCAGTGCTGGGGACACAGCAGTGACCATGACAACACTGGGCCCTGCAGCCTTGGGTCTCACAGTACGGGGGAGACATACTGCACACAGGTTGTCAGATGGCCAGCATTCCTGCTTGAAGGGAATATCCAGGTCATACTCCTCTTTCAGGAGCTCAGGGACAGGACAGAGGTCAGAACTGGGACAGAATTGTTATAGGCGAGTGGAAGGGGTTGTTAGAGATGTGCAAGGGCCAGAATGGGCCAGTGTCTCTGAGAGACTGTGGCAGCAGGGGAGTGCCTAGGTGAGACCCGGTGTGGCCTAGGGACAAGATGAGCCAGGCTGGAGGAGCAAGTTGTTGTTGTTGTTGTATTTTAGGGAAGGGTCTACAAGGTGTTCAGGGTCTCACTACTAGATTCCTCCCAAGAGCTGGAATTACAGGTGCGCGCACCACCACACCCAGTCTCTACAGTAGTTTAGTTTTTTTGTTTGTTTGTTTTGGTGTTTTTTTGTTTTTTTGTGGTGGGAACCGTGGATTGAACTGAGGCCCTTGCACTTGCCGGGCAAGTGCTTATTCTACTGAGCTCTCTCCCCAGCCCCTGGAGGAGCAAGTTGGGAGGCAGAGCTGAATCCAGATTTGGACCTGCACTGTGAGGTATCTGAGAGCTATCTGGATTATCTTCGTCTGTTTTTATATACCTTTAACAAAACATGGCTGGTGTGGTAGTGCGTACTTTATAATCCCTGCATTCAGGAGGCTAAAGCAGGAGGGTCTCAAGACAGAGGACAGCCCACAAGTTGAAAACTAGCCTGGACTATATACTAAAGACCTTGGCTCAAAAAATAAACACTACACACCGGGCAATTCATAAGGAACAGAAATTCACTTGGCTCACAGTTTGGAAGGCCAGCACATCTAAGAACGCGGCGCTAGCATCTGACGGGACCTCTGTGCCAGGTCATCCCTTGGTGAAGGGTGTGACAGAGAGAGCCTGGGAGGTGAGTGGTGGGCTGATGGAGCTGCATGGGCAGTGGCTTCACCACTGACAGGGCCGAGCCCTCGTGAGCTACTCCCTGCCTCAAGCCCAACCACACTCAACACAGAGCCATTGGCTCTCCACATGTGAGCTCTGGAAGACACCTGGGAACACAGTGCAGGTCATCCTGGGGGAGTCAGCCCTTAGGCTTGTCCTGTCCTGGCCTCTTCACACTCCTTGTCTGAACCCCAGTCAGACTCCAGGCTAGTGGGCCAATGCTGACAGCTCTACGCTGAAAGCCTTTACAGACATGGTGAGGCCCTGCACCCGTCCTTTGGCCCTGTGTCCCCTAATGCCCTCCCTAGAGCCCAGAGGCCATGCTGGGTCTGCCGAGACACACACCTGTGTGGAACACTCCCTCCCCATGGTGGAAACAGGCTGCATCCCTTTGCCAGGCTGGGTTTTCCTCATTGAAAGCAGGCAGTGACAGTCCTAGGCCCAGCTCCCAGCCACCACCAGGTCAGCACAGCCCTGAGGCAGATGTGACCTCCCTGCTCAGTAGAAGCAGCTCAGGATGCGCTGTCATAACACAGCCAGCAGGTTGGTCTGGAGCAGAAACCTCAGTATGAGAGGTGTTTGCATGTCCTGGAAACCCAAAACCCGAAACACCAGGCCCTAAGCGTCTCTCAGCTGAAACAGTGGCTGTGGCAGTTGATAGTGACCAGCAGAGTCCTGTGCAGACGCCTGCTCCTGGAAGAAGCCAGTCACTCCTGTCACCCACCCTCCATGAGGATCTCAGAACCTTGTCTAGTACATTTTCAACGAAAACTCCTCTAAGTGTAAAATGTTACAAAGGATACAATCATGGTTATGAATATTGGCTTTTTCAAACTGAGCTGCTTCAGCCTTTCTTTGAATGAATCAGTGGCAATCCACAAATTCCAGTGATTTGGTGCCCACCGATGTTCAGTTTACAAAATGAAATAAAAAAGAACAAGCTCAAGCCTGGCATGATGGTACACACCTGTAATCCCAGCTGGAAGCTGAGGCAGGAGGATCACTTTGAGACTGTGTCTCAAAATACAAAACTCAAGCAAAAAGAACAAGACTTTCTTCTGTAATCAGAAATTTTACAGATTTAGTGTCCCCACTAAATCTTTTGTCCTTGAGCTTTTGTATTTGTAGTCCCAACAGACTTCTATCCAATGAATCATACAATAGCAACCAAACTGTACAGAAACTTATATTTTAAGTTTCCATGACTAAAAACTTTGTTGATACTATTTCTTTTCATCTGGACTGAGTTAATTTTAAAATTATAGCTAGTGTACAATTTTAAATGTTCATAAGAAATACATTGTCATGAATAATTATCAAACATCAAAAGTAAAAAAGGGGAAAAAAATAAAATAAGTTTTTAAAAAAGTAAAAAGGAAAGCCAGGCTTGCGCCTGTAGTTTCTGCTACTCAGGAGGCTGAGACAGAAGGATCGCCTGCACCCAGGAGTTAGAAACCAGCCTGTGCAACATGCTGAGACCTTTTTGTAAAACAAAGGGGAAAAAAATATAAAAAGCGCTGGGAATGAATCCCCAGAGTGCTCTACCCCTGCATTTCTGGTTCCCTTGGGTGACCCCGCGTCACTGCTGGGGAGAGGCAGGGGCAGCATCAGCACTACCTCCGTTCTAAGGCTGAGGACTTACTCTCTACACCCAGATGGCCGTTCAAGGAGTGCCGCTGGTTGCAGCAGTGCCACTCAGCTCTTGACCCCTCTGTGTGTGTGCCTAGGACTCAGTGGCGAGCTCGCGAGCTCCCCTTTCAGGGGTTGGAGGCACCTCATTTGTAGAACGTGTGTTGTTAGTAGTAGCTGGGCGTGATGGCGCACGCCTGTAATCTCAGGCTGAGGCAGGAGATCGCTGCTAGTTTGAAGCCAGCCCGGGTTACATAGTGAGTTCAAGTCCAGTCGGAACTACATACTGAGACACTATCTAAAATGTGAAAACAGAGCGGGGCTTGGTGGCACATGCCTGTAATCCCAGCACTCTGGAGGCTGAGGCAGGAGGATGGTTGTGAGACCAGCTTGGACTACAAAGTGAGCTCAAGGCCAGCCTGAACTGTATAGCGAGACCTTGTCTCAAAAAGACGAAAAAGAAAAGGAAAGAAGGAAAAAAAGGTGAAAGGTGTGGTGTTCTGTGCCACATTTGTCAGCCACACCCACACCTCGGCTGTGCTGTTGCTGGAGTCTGCAGGTCCGAAGTCTGCCACATTTGGGAAGATCGGACTGGGATTTGGTCTCTCTGCTGGGAAGTGGGTGGTGAAACAGTGCCCGGGAGGGGCCAGCCTGGCTGGGCTGCACGTCACTTAGGGTGACAGGTCTGGCTGCTGAGCTTTTGGGTCTTTTCCCTGATTTTGCTCTAGGTGCACTTCATGCCGCCCAGTCTGAGGACCTCCCTCAGAGCCAGGTTTCTCTCTGACACTTTCTAGAAGCATCCTGCAGAACAGTGAGTGGTCACTCACACATGTAGTCCTTGCACTGGGGACACTAACGCAGGAGGGTCTGGCCAGCCTGAACAGCATAGTAAGGCCCTGTCTGCACAGTGAATAAAGCTCTGGAGTCACTGAGGCTACTAAGTGACACCTTCCCTGGGTGAGGCAGGCACAGGTCTTAAGTGACTCTCAGCCCACCACAGGGCATTCCCGTGGCTCCAGCGGGCGGTGGGACTGGCTGGGGCTTCCTTGTGCGCCTGACGCCTCTCTTCCCCGCAGTGTACCACTGGGTGGAGATGCGGACCAAGATGCGCATCATGGGCTTCCGGGGCACTGTCATCAAGCCGCTCAACGAGGAGGCGGCTGCTGAGTTGGGTGCGGAGCTGCTGGGCGAGGCCACCATCTTCATCGTGGGCGGAGGCTGCCTGGTGCTGGAGTACTGGCGCCACCAGTCGCAGCAGCGCCACAAGGAGGAGGAGCAGCGTGCCGCCTGGGACGCGCTGCGGGACGAGGTGGGCCGCTTGGCGCTGGCGCTGGAGGTGCTGCAAACACAGGTGCAGGCAGTGCCGCCCCAGGGTGCCCTGGAGGAGCTGCGCATGGAGCTACAGGAGGTGCGCGCCCAGCTCGGCTCCCCTGACCCACCACCTGCACTCCAGGCAGCGTCGTCCTCCAAGAAATAGGGTGGTGCAGAGGCCTGGACCTCAGTGTGGTCCATGGGCCCTGACTTGGCTGCCTTCCTGAACTTGCTGGGCCCACGGGAAACAACCAAGATCTGGGTGGCACATGGCATTTGGCCACTCCCTGCTGAAGGACCTGGGTATCTTGCCCTGGGACAAGTCCAGCAGGGGACACACCTGACAGCCCCTGTCAGCCTCTTGACTCCTCTGACCTCCCATAGTGCTCATCAGCTACCCAAATCCGGGGACCTACAAGGCCTGCAGGCCTGCTGCGCTGTCCCCATCTCATCATGTGACCCCGCCTTTCCCTGTGGTCCTGCCATCAGAGGAATGTCCCTTCAGCTGGTTCTGTGGAACACAGTTGTCCCACTGTGGCTTATCAGGTCACTCCAGCTGGGCATCTCCACCCTGTGGGAGGGGAGAAGGGGACTTTGGCCTGCAGTCCCCTCACAGAATCGCGTGCGCATCCCTCTCGGTTGGCCTGAGGTGTCAAGTAGCCTATTCTCACAACGTGCTCTGTCTGTGGCACAGTCCACTGACTGGCCCTGCAGGTTCTTGTGTGGCCATGCTCCACTGCCTCCTGTGGGGAGAATGATCCTCACGGGGCCCCATCCAACCGTCTTTGAGCCTCGGCCACTCCCTACCCTCAGAGGCCCTGCAGGGCGTGCCCTCTCCTCCCTTGCCCACCGTCTTCAGTGGCGCCTCCCGGGCTGGTGGCCAGTGTGTGACATTGTCCTCCCACCCCCGTCTTCCATGCACACCCTTCCATTGTATGCCCTGGCCCTGGACTGTGCCCTCATGTGGCAGGCCCTCCTCCCTCCGGAGGCCTGGGTCTCTCCTCTGTCCCACTAGACCAGGGTAACAGTTGGTCTCACCCCGTCTTTCATTTCTGAGCACTGCCATAACCCTTGACTGCTGGCGTGGTAGCTTAGAAGAACAGGAATTCTCACAGCTCTGGAAGCCAGAGGTTCAAGTCAAGGAGTCAGCAGGGCCACATACTTGCTTCCACTTCCGGGTGATTCCAGGCCTTCTTGGCTCTGCCCCTGTTTCCATGTGGCTTCCTCTTCTATCTCTTTGTTTTTCGCAGAACCGGGGATTGAATTCAGGCCCTTGCGCTTGCAGGGAAGCACTTATTCCACTGAGCCATCTCCCCGGCCCCTCCTCTATATAAGTTATAAAGACAGCTGTCACTGAATTTAGGGCCACCCTAAATCCAGGGTGCTCTTACCTCAAAATCCCTAATGATGTCAACAAAGACCCTTTTTCCAAATAGGGCCACGTTCACAGGTTCTAGGAGTTAGGACATGTCCATACCTTTTGAGGGTCCACCATCCACCCCATTACGGAAAAGCCACCAAATAGAAAGTGAGAAGCTGGGCTTCCTAGGGAGCACCTTCCATTCTTCTAGAAGAGAGGGAGAGGCTGAGGGCCGAGTGAGGCCCACTGGGGATGTCCTTAAAGTTAGGAGTGAGTCAGATGGGTGAAGTAGTGAAGAAGGCAAGGCAGAAATACCACAGCTTGAAGGGTGACAGGGACAGAGCCAGGAAGAGGCTCAGTGCCTGGTTTCCATGGTTACTATTGGAGAGGTGGTCCACCCTGTCTCCGACATCTCTCATGACTTTATGTGGCAGTAACTTGTCACCACAAATCAGGGGCTCTGAGCTCTGGCTAGGGGACCTGCACTGTTCTAAGTGCTTTGCATAATGACCACAGCATGAGGTCTCCCATGGCACTGATGAGGAAACTGAGGCAGAGAGGGGCAGTCACCTGCTCCAGGTCAGCTAGGCAGGGTTGGTAGCCTGAGCCCAAACCCCAGCTCCTTCATGCTGTGTCAGCCCAATGGGGTGCTGCCGTCATACCCTAGAGCCTGGGAATGCGAGCCGATGTGTGCAGTAGGTGGCCAGGACCCCTTGCTCCACACAAGGGCGTGGGGCCAGAGAGCACTCTGTGGCTCTGGCTTCCTACTTGCCAACTTTGTGTATATTGTGCTATGCTAAGAGGAGTTAAAATAAACTGATAGGAAAGCTGGGTGTCTTCAAGTTTATGCCTTCTTTTTTCATATTTTAAAGATCACTGTTAAGCTCAGAAAAAAATGGCCTTCGTGTATACTACCATTTGAGAAATTTCACTGAAATTTTCACAGAAATTTCACTGCATACAGAGCCTGTTCTGCACTGTGCTGGGATTTCAGAGGTGACCGAGACTGCCCACTTGCACCCACCCTCCTGGAGCTCACGTCCCGTTGATGGGATAGATACACAGGCAGACCTTTTCCTTGTCACTTCCTGTGGTTGGGAAGAGGAAGAGGGATGAACCAGATTTCTCCTCTCCTGAGTGCCTCAGGGTGTGAACAGGAACCTGCTCAGGAAACCTCAGAGAGCTCTGCCCTTCCCATCTCCTGGCCAGCTCTGTCATCTCTGTGGCCCTGCTGCATGGCCTTGTGCCTGGAAATGGCCTAGATTGGCTCAGAGCCACCCCAGGAGAAGATGGCCTCTGAGCTCCCACCAGATCCACCAGCCCTCCCACCAGATCCCAGGGGGCAGTAAGCAGCTACCATAAGAGAGCACGGAGCAATGTATTAGTTCTTGTTATTGGGCCGGGGATACAGCTTGGGCACAGCGCATACCTGGCAAGCACAAGGTCCTGAGTTTGATTCCCAGTACAAAAAAAAAAAAAAAAAAATCCCTACAAGCGCCGGCAAGATAGCTCAGTGGACTAAGCGCCTGCTTAGGCAAGTGCAGGGACTGGGATTCGATCCCTGGTACCACATGCAGTGCTGGCCCCACCCTCGGTACCGCATGCTGAGCGGGCCACCAGACCGATACACGCTTGTACCCAGCGCTGGGGAGGCTGAAGAACGGGGATCACTAGGAGTCTGAGCTGCAGGGTGAGATCCTGTACCAAATACATAAAAATAATTTTTTAAAAACCCACAAAAAAGAAACTATTGTTATTTTCCATCATCTTGTTGTGAAATTCTGTCTTTTCTTTTTTCCATTAAGAAAATGACTTTTATTGAAGACCTATGATGTATTATTGTTCAGAATGAGAGGTTCTATGCATGCCTACTGTGGAACTTGATTATCGTACTAAAGGTAAATTGATATTTTAAAAATCAATACAACCTTTATTGAGAAATGTATTAATCAAAAATGTATGGAATCCCTTGTAAGCGGCTACATAATAATTCATGGGTTTTCAGTATAAGCATTACATGTATGAGCCAGGCATTATGTGACATACAAGGAGAGGTCTATTTTCTGTGTAATTCTGTAATATGACATTATATTATCATGTGGGAATATCACTGGAAATAAAACTTCACTAAGTACCCAAGCCGTCTGATACTTCATTTTTCTTAGAGACTTCACTTAAAAGTCTGTCACTGCTCATTGTCAAGATTGTATACCAATAGACTATAGTCAGAGAACATTTTCAATGAGTTTGCTGTACTTTGATCATTTGCCAAAAAAACTACTGCAAATTATTGATAAGGGAATTTCTTTTACTTTATTCAGTTGAATTCTCTTGAAAATTAAAACCAGTGTTTCCACTCTCCTCAGTTAAAGTTCGACCGTGAAATACAGACCGAGTGACACACGTTTTCATTTTCCTCTTGGCCAAAGATTTCAATTTAGTTCTATTTTACAGTCAAACAGAAGGCTTGCAGTGGCCCTGCTAGGTCATAGCCGAGGATTAGTGATGGCCCTGGTGACGCAGGGTGAGGCCAGCCCGGTTGCCTTCGGTGCCAAATCACAGCATCCCTGGTCACGTTGCCTTCGCGGGACCAGGAGGCAAGGAGTGCTGTGCTCTGTGAAACGCTGGGTTGGGGATCCCCCAGGCCCAGAGCTGGTCCTCAGCACATCACTTGGCGGATGTTGCTAACTAAGATGAAGAACATTCTCAGGATAGCTCAGACGCTCCTTGGCCACAGCAGAGGTGTTTGTGACGTCAGCTTAACTCTTAATCATGGCTTAATTGCTTTCCCTTGTCTTCAGGAGCAACTATAGAAGGACAGACGTCTGGAAAAGATCTCCCAGGGCGTGTGGCAGTCCCTTCATCTGCAGCCATGGGACAAAATAGCTCCCCGGTGGCAGGCCATTCGGTCAGGATCCCGTACTTCCTAAAAGAAAGATGGTGAAATACGTCGTCTTCTGCAGGACATGCCAGGAGTTTCTGGTTGACGGTCAAATCCGTCATCTTGTGGCCCCACCCAACGCTGTTTTAATTCATTGATTTTTTACTTTCATGCTTTAAGGCATCAGCTTCTTCCATATCAAACAGAAAATAAGCTTCAACTGCTTCCTGGGACAGTGCTGAAGGTGCTTTTCTGGAAAACTCTAAAAGTGCACAGAGATCCCAACAAATAGCTGGTCCAGCAGAAGGTCAAGTAACAAAGCGCCTGGGTGATGCTGGGTCAGAGCTTCCTCCAACTTCCAGCCGTCTCTTGCTGATGACGTCTTGTCGCAGAATGTTCTCAAAGGGCTTGTCACGTTGTCAGGTACCAGTGTCAAAGATAACTTCTTGGCAAAAGCAAAGAATATAGTTCTGCTTCCCTTTCATTATCCTGATACAGAGTGAAGCAAGCTGGAATGCACCGAAACTACACATCTGGAAACACATCTTGGTCATCTTTTAAAATTCAATATACCAGCCTCGTGCCATGGATGAGCCTGTCATTCCAGCTACTCTGGAGGAGGAGGCTGGAGGATTGCTGGAGCTAAGTTCAGGGCTGGCCTGGCTGGGCAACGTCAGCAGACTCCTTCTAGAAACATTAACAGCTAACAAGCTGGGAGACAGCTCAGTGGCTTAAGCACCCACCTGGCAAGTGTAAGGGCCTGAGTTTGATTCTTGGTACAAAAAAAAGCAACAAACAAAAGCATGGGGTGGGGATGCAGCTCAGTAGAAGACTGTGTGTGGGTATTAAGCCTGGGTTTGACCCCTAGCACTACAAAAATGCCCCACAAAAACATTAAACTCATTGTATGTATTATACACATGAGGATCATATTTTGAGAGGCTGGGAGAACCCACCAGGTGTGCAGAGGCCCTGCCCCACTCCTGCCAGGTCTGCGGTACTCTCTGACAGCTGATGTTTGAGCCCCTGTGGGGGTGGAAGGGCCGGAGGCCCCCGCCCCCTTCTATGCAGGCCTGGTGACGTCCCTCATCCCCTTGACTCCTCCATCAAATGCTGCCTTGGTGTCTGCCCTGGAAGAAGAAACCCAGTGGAGATGACAGGCCTGGACCCTGCCTCAGGGCTCCCTTGGTCTCTAGGCAGTGCCAGGACAGGCTGCCTGGAGGAGCCACCCCAGGGGAGGGCAGATGGGGACCAGAAAACCCAGGGGCTCTGTTATGTCGCAGGTGCCTGTCTCACTCTGCCACATCTCTGTGCCTCTTCATAAAAGTTGTTATGTCCAAGAAATCAGCCCCTCCCTGGAAGAGTCCTGTGGCTCCAAAAGACGCAATAAGGCTTATGTACAGGGATGTCACTTTGTTCATGTCCAACAATCTACATTTACTCATTTAATCATATACAAAAATTACTTTTTTGTGTATTTATTTGTTCGTTTTTTGAGGCTGGGTCACACTTTGTAATTTAGGCTGGCCTCGAACTCACTGTGTGTGTATATCCCGAACTGGCTCTGAACTTGGAGTGATCCTCCTGCCTCAGCCTCCCAAGTGCTGGGATTACAGGCATGCCCCACGATGGGTAAAAAAAAAATCTACATTCATCCATGCACAAAAATCAACATTTATTCAAATACAGTCATGTCTGTAGAATAGCACTATACTTTCCAAACCCCGAATTCAATCCTGAACTTCTTGGGACTCCACTTCCTGTAGAACCATAAGCTGCCATCTCTCACACCCAGCAACAGAACCCTCCTTAAATGCGTGCCCTTGTCCATGTAGCCTTCCATAGAGAGTGGCAGCACTGGTGACGTTGTCCCAGGAATTCGTCACCCAAGTGATCCTAGCACTTGCGGGGAGCGTGCTGAGACAGGAGGCTCACTGCGAGTGGGAGGCCAGCCAGGGCTACAAAGTGAGTTTGAGACCATCCTGAACTGAACAGCAAAACCCTGTCATAAGAAAAATAAAACAAAATAAAATTATTACAATGAAACTAATAAAATTTCAAAAAACCTAAAAAAAAAAAAAGAAAAACAAAACAAAACAAAAAACCCTCCACACAAAAGGGCCAAACTGCAGGAGCAAAATCCAAAGAACGCTTTTTCACACAAGTGCATGAAGTGCATTCGTTACCCACACGCGGTACTGACTTACGGAGCTTTGTAGCACACATAAGCATGTCAGTTTGGCATCAGGTGTGCATGTTGTGTGCTGTGTCGACGTTGTGACTGGCCATTCGGCAGTAAGTCTTGAGTTGATCTGTTTACACAGGCATTTACTTCTTTTTTTTTTTTTTTTTTTTTTTTCTTGCAGAACTGGGGATTGAACTCAGGCCCTTGCGCTTGCCAGGGAAGCTCTTATTCCACTAAGCCATCTCCCCGGATCCCAGGCATTTACTCTTGGGCAAAGACACCTGCTGGGGTGTTTGCAAATACTTAACTGTAATTTTTTTTTTTTTTTTGTGTGTGTGTGTGTGTATGTGTGTGGTACGGGGGATTGAAATCAGGACCTTGCGCTTGCCAGGCAGGCATTTATGCCACTGAGCTATATCCCCAGCCCTTAACTGTAATGTACATTATTGTTTAAGTATTAATGTCAGTATTCACTGCTATATAATTATATATTAATATCATCATTTTATAATTCAATATGTCCTTCGTGTACTGCGGCATAGGCACGGAATGCTTCCGTCTGGCTGGGAATCTTCATGGGCTTGTTTTGGGGGTAGGCCCTCTATGAAGAGAACCCTAAAAACTCATGCTAGGCCTTGTTTTCCAATTCGGTCTTTTTTTTTTTTTTTTTTTCCAGTTAGATCTTATTTTGGGGAAAATGGGGAAGGATTGGTGCAAGCTTCCTGCCTCGGTGTCCCAAGTAGCTGGGGTTACACCACACCCAACACGAGGAGAATCTTATGATCTGCTGTTGGGCAAGGATATCAGAGCGTTTCTTTCAGGCAGAGATTAGGGTTTGTGTGACTTGCTGGGGGAGCCAGGAGCTGTGGCTGAAGACTGATCCCAGTGACTCATACGCAGCCGTGGAAGGCAGGCGTTGCCCCTGATGTGGGGAGAGGGGGCGCCTATGACCTGTGCTCCCGGGAGGGAAGCTGCAGCCCTGGGCCAAGAGGAAGGCCCACCAGTTAGCCCAAGGGCTCAGCATGTGCGAAGGCCCTGCTGCCACAGGACTCGGGGGCGAGGCTGAGGAGGAGGGCTGGGCGCATGGGCTTAGCTTGGATGGTGCTCTGCTCAGCACCATAAATAGAAAAAAAAAAAAAAGGAAGGGAAAAGGAATCACATGGTGACACTGGAAGTCAGAACAAAAGGCAGGACTTTTGTAACAACTGGTGCTGCAGCCTAGGTCGGCCTCGAACCTCAGCCTGCTGAGTGCTGGCATTGCAAGGACCCAGCACCAAGTTGGGCAGCCATTGAGAACCAAGTCAGGCTTCTGGGAGCACTTCCTGTCTCCCTTCTGAGGACAGCATGGGCTCTACCACCTCCACACTGAGGGCTGAGCCCCCACCACCAGCATCCTTGGGGTACAGATCACATCCAGACCTCAGCAGGGAGTGAGCCCCTGGGACACCCCCAGAAGAGGCATGGGGGTGGAGGTCAGACTCATCCCACAGGCTACGCACCTGCCCTGCCTGCCCTCCCGCCTGGCCCTGCAGCCAGGTGGCCTGGAGGGGCCTCCCTGGGTTCCCAGCCCCCAGCCCGTCCTCGGTAGCCCCTGGCAGACTGACCCTGTCTCAGCTTCTTCATTTGCCTTTTCTTCCTCAGTCCCTCATCACCTGTGGTGAGGCTCCCGCTGGGTCAAGAGCAAACATCATTGGCACACTGACTTCAAACTCCAGGGTGACAGCCCAGGCGGGGAGCCTGGGTGGTGGGGTCGCTCAGATTCACATTGTACAAAGGCCCTGAATCCAACACTCTAAGGTCTTGAAATCCAAACTGTCATGGCCTCATCAATGTCAGTAGTGCAGAATTTGTGACAGTCCTGCTTGTCCACCTCATACACAGACATGTAAGTCATGCTGTTCTGGGGCAGTGTCTCTGAGGCTGTCGCAGTCCTCTGCCATGGTCCTCTTGTCCATGTTGTGGAAGCGTCCCAAAAAGATGCATCGTGCTGGGTGCTCTGACTCAGAATGTCAAGCTTGGGGACAAAGGTCAGTCAGCTGCATTCACCATAGTAAAGTGTCGGACGTGGCCAGAAGCCACAGCGCTGTTCTTGGAGACACATGACATGCTCAGGAGTGGAAGGAACTTGCTTTTCACAGCAGACACCTGTACACTTTTGAGACATCAGCCACAGACATGGTGCTGTCATGGCTGACCCAGGTCAGGTGGCTCCTACTGGCAGTGAAGCTGAGCCCGTGGACCCAGCCATTAGTGCCACTGCCACCGAACTCTTGACATCAGCTAGCCAAAAGGCACCTTGCTGTCCCAGGACATCCTGGCTGGCTTTTCAGCCACTTCTTTAGCTTAGGCAGAAAACACCCTGCATTTGAAGTCACCTGATCTGCTGCCAGCCAGCCATCGGGCCACCCATCCCAGCTGAGGATGGAGCCGGGCAGCTCACCACCTGTTGTTTTCAGACTTGAAGTAACACACAGACCTGGGCTGTGCCCCACTTCCTGTAGCACATCTGCTGTCTTGCAGGGACGCTTCACAGAAGCGGCTGCACGGATCCCCCTCTGGATCACTAACTTTGTTTTTACAGTTTTTCTTTTTTGATACCAGAAATCAAACCCAGGGCCTCGCACTTGCCAGGCCAGCAATCGCTGTTGAGCTACATGCCTGGCCCCAGGGTCACCATCTTTCTGCCTCCAGACCTAAGCGCTGCAGTCAGCTCCGGAAGAGATGATCCGATCCTGAGCTCCTCAAGTGTGTGCGTGAGCTGTCACCCCACCGGCTCTCGCTCCTCCTATGGACGTGAATGTCGTACTTCTCAGGGCTAAGGGCAATCTGGGTACTGTCCCTGTTCCAGGCGCGACAGCTGAGGCTCTAGTGAGCACTGAGGCGAGGATGGATTCTTAGTGTTTTCAAAGGACAGGAAGCAGGGCAGTTGGCAGGGGCTTGTCGCAGACAATTTGAGGGCCTCTTGCAATCTTTTTATTTTTTATTTATTTATTTATTTATTTTTTGTATTTAGTACAGGGCCTCACTTTGTAGCTCAGACTCATAGTGATACTCCTGTTTCAGCCTCCCCAGTGCTGGGATTACAGGTATGAGCCACCATGCCCTGACTCAGTGTGCCCAGGGGCAGGACTGGCGAGGCATGTGGTGCCACGAATCAAACCCGGATCCTTGTGCTTGCCTGGGTGGGCATTTAGTCCCCTGAGCTATCTCCACAGCACTCCTTTTGCAATTTTACACAACCTCCTGCTTACTTTTCTGTTGGTGTGACAGCGACATAACTCAAACCCTTCCGTGTGGGTATCTTGGCAGCACTGAGCAGTCACAGCGTTGTGCAGTCCTCACCACTGTCTAGTTCCAGAATATTTTCCTCACCCAAAAATAAAACCTGAGCTGGGCATGGTAGCCCTTGCCTGTAACTCCAGCATTCTGGAGGCTGAGGCAGGAGGATCTTCACAAGTTCGAGGCCAGCCTAGACCACATAGGGAGACCTTGCCTCAAAAAAGGAAAAAAATTAAGATTCAATATTTTTAAGACGTCAAATCTTACTAAACTGATTTTCAAATGCAAGAAAATCCCAATTATAATTCCCAAAGATGCATGGCTGTGTGAGGGAAAATTGAAAACTGATTCTGAAGTTACCCGAATCTGGTTGTCAGCAGGCAGATGGCAGAGGAGGCCACCCCTGTGCTGTGTCACCGTGGCTATGCCGCTGGACACACGTGGGGACCCCTCTGAACTGTCTCAGCCCTTTCATGGTGACCCCTCAAATCAGAAGCCCGGAGGGCCCCTCCACAGGAGATGGAGTGAAGACGCACACCGGCTGACAGAAGCTCTGCTCTCCTGGCCCAGAGCCCGACTTCGCAGGGACCTGGCCTCTCCTGGGCCAGGGTCCAGCTCATGTCTCCCTGCCTGCTTCTGGGTGCCTCTGTCACAAGGTGTCTTCCGGCTGGGTGTGGTGGTGCATACTTGTAATCCCAACACTAGAGAGGCTGAGGCAGGAGGATGGCCACAAACTGCATAGTGAGACCCTGTCTCAAAAACAAACAAAAGTAACCGCTGGTGCTCGCTTCAGCAGCACATAGACTAAAAAAATGGGAATGATACAGAGAAGATTGGCATGGCCCCTGTGCAAGGATGACAGAATTAACCACTGTTCCAAAAGAGTTAAACACATCGTGTCTCGGTGGTTCATGCACGCCTGTGTCTCGGGAGGACAGCTCATCATAGGTGCACGAAGGAAGCAGCCTGGATGTCTCTGAACAGATGATTGGCTAAGGCAAATGTGGCTTATCCACACATGCTGGAATACTACTCAGCCACGAAGAAGGATAACCTTGAGGTACATGCAGGAAAACGAATGCACCTTGAGGCCCTGATGTGAAGTGAAAGGAATCAGACACGCCTGCTTAAATATTCCGTGGTTCCTCCTATGTGAGAATCCCAACATGTAAATAACTTAAAGAACAAAATGAATCATGGAGAGATGGATCTCTTGCAGATGGGAAGGAGAGTGAGAGACTTGGGAGTGGGGAGGGAGAATGGAGATGCCCTGTACTGCAAGCATGTACTGATACAACTTTTAAAAATAAAAATAAATGGCTCAGTAGAATAAGCGCTTGCCTGGCAAGTGTAAGAGCCTGAGTTCAACTCCCAGTTCCACCAAAAACATAAATTAATTAATTAAAATTAAAATCAACTGGGGGCTGGTGAGATGGCTCAGTGGTCTAAAGCACCTGCTTAGAACAAGCTAAGCTAAACAAAGGACAGGGACCGCGGTTCAATCCCCCAGCACCACATGCCAGCCAGCCCCGCCCCCTGGTGGGCTGAGCTGGCCACACACACACACACACACACACACACACACACACACACACACAATAAATAAATAAATAAATAAATAAATAAAATAAATAATAAAAAAAAATTTAAAAAAATAAAATAAAATCAACTGCTGACAGCTGGCCCTACCCCTGGGGTTCCCTGAGATGGCAATTGAGACTGGGCATGGTGGCACACACCAGTAATCCCAGTTCTTGGGAGGCTAAAATCACTGTAGACCTTGTACTAAATACATTAAAAAAAATAATAACTACTGACCATCCACACAGAAGGGGCAGTGGTTGGCCAGGGATGTAGCTCAGTGGCACAGCACCTGCCTGGAAAGTGTGTTGCCCGGAGTTCAATTCCCAGTGCAAAAAAAAAAAAAAGTACAGTGGTGACAGAGAGGAAGATTCTTTCTAAGGAAGACCTGTGGCAGGGCAGGACTCCAGGGCGCAAGGGTATGCTGGGAAGAGCAGGGGGTGGGCCAGCACAGGTCCAGGCAGGTCCAGGCAGGAGGCCTGGTACAGCTGGTACCGGAGGGAGGGAGGAAGCCCAGCACCCCTCTGCCTCCCCTTTGGTGGTGCCCAGAGGAGGCTGCCCTGCTGCCCTCCACTCTACCCAAGGGCACCTGGAAGGTGGGTAATGGACCCGCATCCTCAGCACTTGCCATTAACCCACTGTGGCTCACAGTGCCAGCACTGGAGAGGCTGAGGCAGGAGGATAACAAGTCTAAGGCCAGCCTGGGCTACATAGCAAGACCTTGTACCCCCAAACCAAAAAGAACAAAAAAGCTGTAGATTTGATGAAGCTGAATGAATGCTCTTAAGCTGGCTGGATATTTTTATTTTAAAATCTTTCATAAAGAAAGACTATGAATGGGGCTGGTGAGATGGCTCAGTGGTCTAAAGCACCTACTTAGAACAAGCTTAGCAAAGCACAGGGACCGCGGTTCAATCCCCCAGCACCACATGCCAGCCAGCCCCGCCCCCTGGTGGGCTGAGCTGGCCACACACACACACACACACACACACACATAAATTAAAAACAAAACAAAAAAAAAAAAAACAAAGACTATGAAAACTGGTTGGGGGTGTGGTCTGAAGGGGAAGGTCCATGAACATGCCTGGCACATGGACACAAAGAGACTGAGAACGCAGGACAGTCAAGAGACACCCTGGGGCTGCTGTAGTCCGCACATATTCCAGCAGGGTGGCAAGAAAGACAGGGAGACACTGAAGTTCCGGAGTCGCCAAGGCTGTGCTCAGCTTCCTGTCCCTTGCTAGAAGGACCCACAGAACCCACCACAGTCCCTGCCCACAGCCGAGGTGTGTGATGGTGAAGGATCCAGGTGAAAATCAGCTGAGGGAAAAGCAGTGTCAGGGCTGGGGAGATAGCTCAGTGGCATAAGCGCTTGCCTGGCAAGTGCAAGGTCCTGAGTTCAATCCCTGGTACAAAAAAAAAGCAGTGTCTATTCAGTTTCATGCACTGGCTTCCAGTCCCTTCCTGCCAGGGCCCATGAGGACAGCACTAACTTCTTCCAACAATTGTAGGTGACAACATGCTCAGAGGTTTGCTGGCTGGGGCAGCCTTGGTGTCCAGGGCCTTTGATGAAAGTGAGTGATGGGGCCGGGGAGATGGCTCAGTGGAATAAGCACTTCCCTGGCAAGCTCAAGGGCCTGAGTTCAATCCCCGGTTCTGAAAAAAAGAAAGAAAAAAGAAACAGAAAAGAAAGAAAGTGAGTGATAAAGATGAAGTCGGCCACCATGTGGGCTTCTCTGGGGCTGAGCCGTCCCAACGTGGCCCCAGCTCCCCATGGTTAGAATAACTCTTTGGTACGGCTGGAGGCCTCAGACCCTCTAAGGAGGCCAGGCATTCCTGGGACTTAAAGATTACCTCCCAGGAGCCAAGGACAAAAGCCAGAGCTTGGATTGGGTAAGGTAAGAAAAGAAAACTTCCAAGGACTGAAGAGAAGAGCAGCACAGAGAGAAGAGAGAAGAGTATAACAAGTAAGGGAGAGAAGCCGGCGAGATAGCTCAGCGGTCTAAAGTGCTTGCTTAGGCAAGCTTTGGCAAGCGCAGGGACCGAGGTTTGAACCCCAGCACCACATGCCTTGCCAGCCCCGTCCCCAGGGTGGGCTGAGCTGGCCACACACACACACACACACACACAGTAAGGGAGAAGACGTAACTCACTCAGGCCCATCTTGGTGCAGTGGAAGTGACAATATGGAGCTCCTCTGCTATCACAATAATGAAACCAGGCCTTCACACCTCGAGGAACGGGATTCTGAATGAGTCGTTGGAGGCCTAGGTACTATCAGCCATCAGTCATGAAGGTGGGAAAAGATATTTCACATATATAAGAATTCAAAGGGGCCGGGGAGATGGCTCAGTGGAATAAGCACTTCCCTGGCAAGTGCAAGGGCCTGAGTTCAATCCCTGGTTCTGCAAAAAAAAAAAAAAAAAAAAAAAAAAATTCAACACTTACCTACTTAACAAATTTTCTGTGAAAGGTATTTAGAAATTATTGTGGTCAGGTTTTACAAGGAACTGCATTTAACACAAGGCACATAATTTATAGGATTATTTTATAATATTCACCCAAAGAGTCAAATGCAAAAGAGCGCAGGAGATCTGTAAACACACTAGAGACCCGAAGAATCCAGCGGAGGGCCTGGATTCCCGGGTCAGGCCCTGCACGAGTCCGGCTGGAGGCCTAGTGCTCAGGACAGTGTCTCATGCGAGTCTGTGACAAGGATCTGCCCTGGGAGGGCCCAGAGGTCAGCGGTGGAAACCAGAAAGTCTATGCCAGCGGGATGAAGTATCTGTGCCAGCAGGCGGAGGGGTCTGCACTGGAGCCAGAAAGCAACACTCGAGGTAAGGACCAGAGCTCCCCCGAAAGAGCCTTAGCCATCCTCAGCGACAGGGAGGTCACAAGCTCCCTTGTGACAAGAACACCTGAGTTCACATCAGGAAAGCCAGCGTGACAAGCTTCTCCCGGAGAACCAGCAGCGCACCCTCTTCCTCTCCAGCTCTCCTTTGATGCTGTAGACAGTGGCCCTCAGGGGGGCCTTCCGCCCCCACCCAGAACCATGCTGACTTGGTCCAGCTGGGTGTTACAAGTGGCCCATCAGTTAATCTGCCAGCGATGTACACTAGCAAAACTAACGTGAAATTCAACAGAGAGGAGGAGCAGCGTGAAGACCTTGTGGGAGGACAGTCCTGAAGCAGCCCGGAGCAGAGCCAGTGAGTGCATCCAGGCCTGGGCGACGATTTAACAAGCTTGACAGGAGCCAAATGCTGACTGACCTTGGTCCTTGCAGAAGCGAGGCATCTGGGGGTCATAGTGTGGCAGTTTGAGAAACACACTCAGGAAAAGCTAAAAGATCTATGTGGGACAATCAAGCCTGAAATGTAAGGAAACAAAATGGCGATCTGACAAGCAGCAGTGTTTAGGCTTGCTGTTGAATTTATACCGTTGGTTTAATGAAATGAAAGTATAACTTCATGACAGAGCCACAGTGACTATCATCTACATAACCTTAATAATACACAAGCTGGGGGCCAGGGAGACAGCTTAGCGGCCTGAGCCCCTGCCTGGTAAGCGCTAGGTCTTGAGTTGGATCCCTGCTACCAAAAAAAAAAAAAAAGAAGAGCTTAGTAATACACAAGCTCAGAGGGCCGGGGAGATGGCTCAGCAGAATAAGTGCTTCCCTGGCAAGCGCAAGGGTCTGAGTTCAATCCCTGGTTAAAAAACAAAAAAACAAAAAAACACAAGCTCTCCCAGTGCTTGGGAGGCTGAAAACAGGAGGATCCCTAGAGTGTGACCTGCATAGTGAGATCCTGTAGTCCTTGTACCAAATGCATTAGAAAAAGCACATGCTCTCTATTTTCACCTTCAGACTCACCCTATGTCTAAAATGTCTGAAGCCTAGGTTCAGTCCCTGTGTCCCCAGCACTGCCACCTGAGGGTATAGTTCAGAAGGGTTTTTTTTTTTTTTTTTTTTTTTTTTTTGGCTGGCTCAGGATGCCTTCAGGGCAGGTCTGGTATGGCTTGAGGATCTGGGGATCAAACCACAGCATCCTGCTTACTTTGTTCAAGAAGTCACTTAAACAACTGAGCTAATGGGCAGGCCCCCCGAAAAGCTCAGGGGTGTGTGTGTGTGTGTGTGTGTGTGTGTGTGTGTGTGTGTATGTGTGTGTGCGCCACCTGAGGGTATAGATCAGACACACCATGGCTGAGAAAGTGAACTAGGGTAATAGAGTAGAAGAGAGGGGAGGGCAGTTAATGCACTTTCAGGACCAGGTGTCAGGAAAGTGAGCTGTGGACACAGTTAGAATGACAAAGGTATACCAATATATAGCAAATAATTTTAAAAATTGGGAGGCTGAGAGAAGGACATAGATAAATTCCCTATGTGTCACGGGGTGGGCAGTAATGAAAAATCAAGTCGCAGGGTTTTGATTTGGTTTGGTTTGGTGTTTCTGAGACAGAGGCCTGATACACAGTCCAGGCTGAACTTGAATTCTGACTGGCTGTCAACTCACAATCCTCCTGTCTCAGCCTCCCAAGTGCCAATATAGGCACGTACCACCATGCACAGCTTAGTCACAGAGTTTTTAAAAATGTGTTGTATCAGGCAAGTCTCATGCCGCAATCTATAGTCCCAGTGACTGGGGAGGCTGAGGTAGGAGGATTGGTTGAGCCCAGGAATTCAAGACCAGCCTGGGCAATATAGCAAGATCTTCAGATGAATAAATTAAAAAAAAAAATCCAGGAAAGATAAAAAGGAGTTAACCTTAATTAAGGAGCAGGACTAAAGTGGAGGAAAGAAACTGGATTTCTGTCTTTGTCTTTATTTTTGTTTTGAGACAGTGTGCAGTTCCGACTGGCCTTGGACTTTCGGGAATCCTCCTGCCTCAGCCTCCCAAATTCTGGGATTATAGGTGTGAGCCACCAGGCCTGGCTTGTCTTTGAATATACTCCCTTCTGTTAAGTCTAAATAATTCTCCCCAAGTGCGTTTGTTATTCTTCTAGCCAAAAAAATAAGAAAAGGCAATTATTGGAGAGAATCCTCCTGGCTGCTGAGGGTGGGTGAAGAGATGAAAGGTGAGGTCTAGAGATTGAGGTCATAGGGGGCTGAGGTTGGCATGTGACACAGGCCATCGTCGTGTGGCAAGTGCTGCAAAGGCCACTGGGTTGCGACGAGCAGTCCCTGCTCCATGCGGAGCGGGTCACCTGGGCGGGTGCACGGGTGGGTCGTGGGTGGAGCGAGGCACCAGTCATCCACTGGCCCAGCCCTTGAGCTGCGGGGCCTCCTCATAACCTCCCTTTTCCCGAAGTGGCTCCTAGTCCGAGGTCCCCTCTACCACCCGGGCAGCGTTGTTCATTCCCAGGTGCTCACTAGACTCTTTTGGACGCTTTTAATAAAAGACAGCCTTGGGCCACCCAGGCTAGATAACCAGGCCTTCCGGCTGCAGTCAGGGAGCGTGGGGCGGGCCGCGCGGGCGCCCCTGACACGGACCGACCTCCTCTTCCCGCAGTGTACCACTGGGCGGAGATGAGTGCAAAGATGCGCATCATGGGCTTCAGCGCGGAAGCCGTGAAACCGCTCAACGAGGCGGCGGCCGCCGAGCTGGGTGCGGAGCTGCTGGGCGAAGCCATCATCTTTGTCACCGCCTGCAGCTGCTTGATGCTGGAGTACTGGCGCCAGCAGTCGCAGCGGCGCCGCAAAAAGGAGCAGCGGCGCCTGTCGTGGGACGCGCTGCAGGACGAGGTGGAGCAGCTGGCGCTGGAGCTCGAGGCGCTGCAAGCGCAGGTGCGCGCGGCGGCTCCACAGGCCTCGCTGGAGGAGCTGCGTGCCGAGCTGCGGGAGGTGCGCGCCCGGCTCTGCAACGACGAGGACCCACCGCCGGCCCCCCAGGAGTAGAGCCTTCCCAGCCGGCCAGGGGGCCCCCGCCTGGTCTCTTCGGTGATGGGCATTAGTCTGGCAGTATGTCATCCCCCCCTGCACCTTCCTCCTGGTGCCCCTCCCACCCGTGGAACAGGCTAACAGGCTCCTCCCCCTGCATTGCCCTGTGTGGGCTCCACCTGTTTGCCAGGGGGAGTCAGAGGAGGAAGCAAAACTGGGTTCTGCACTTAAAGGAGGCACCTTGAGGTGCCTGAGGTGGGGACCCTTCCTCTGGGAGAACATCCGGTCCCTCCTCCATTGGTATGGACCATGACAAGAAAATTCATAAAGTTCCAGAGGTCTTCCTGACCCTGTCACCTACCTCACTCATGGGGGAAAAGGGATCTTACACTCGGTTGGCTCCGTGTCACTCTGTGCCTGCTGCCCTTAGATTGTCATGGTGTCTCAACCACCATCCTCCTGTCCAAGTGACGGTCCACTGAGTCCTGCTCCCTTTAGACTCGGGCACAACCCACTGGCTGGCCCTCCCTACCCCTCCTGTCCAGCACTGCCCTCAGGGAAGGGAAGCTGGTCCTGTCAGGGGCTAAGGCGCAAGGCTCAGTCTCAGTCCCACTTATCCCAGAGCCCAACCTACTCCTGCCACCCCTCCAGTAGCCTAAAGACCCCCGTTCTCTAGTACGAGCCACTGTCCTAGTCCCCATCCTCTATCCAAACCATTCCAGAGTACTCAGAGCGTCTCCTCCCTGTCTTGGGTGGCAGACACACCCATGCATCCTCACTGAGGCCTCTTCCAGAGGGGCCATAGGCCTTTGCCCTGTCCAAGTGGAACCCCCTGGCCAACCTGCCCCTGTGCCTGCCAACCCAGTGGGCCAGAGCACAGGCTTATGAGCCCTGTGACTTCCCAATTTTTTTCCTTTTTTGGTGCCAGGAATCAAATTCAGGACCTTGCTCTTGCCAGGCAGCCACGTCCGCCAGTAAGCTATATCCCTGCCCAATTCTTAAAGAGACTGTTAAATATTTATATAATTAAAGGTGTTCTAAGGTAAAGAACCCACTGTAAAGTGTCTGAGAACCACTATGTGTTATCTGCGAGTGGAGAAGCTGCAGGCCACTGTAGTGACGAGGTCAGTCATCCTGAGCCCTTTTCTAAGTGGGAGGTTAAGGCACCAAGAGCCTGAAGGGCACACAGTCGGGGAGCTGTCCCTGGCCTCAGCGAGGTGAAGCACAGGGCAGGTAAGAAGGGATCCAAGGGAGGGGCACAGATGTTGGGGTAGGATGGGAGTGGAGAGGCGCAGGACCCTAGAAGGCAGACTCCTGGGGTGGGGACCAGGGCTTCGCACACAGTGCCCCGTCCCCATGGGCCACCCCAAATCACTCCCAAGAATTTCGTATTTATAAAACAGAAGATTTATTAGGCGAGGACCCATTTTCAAGAAGCTAAAGGTGAAGGTGTGGGGAGGTAAGGTTTCCTCCACCTCCTCTCCCTTCTCCCTAAATAGCTCTCCCCAGGGGATAAAAATGGTCTGGACCTCGAAACCTACCCAAATAAAAAAATGAAAAAAAATGAGGTTTCAAAAAGTTACAGCATATTAATTCCTTATAGAAAAGGGGAAGGGGCCAGAGGGAAGGTTGTCCCTCATGGGGGTGAGCACCCCACCTGATGGGACACCCCCTCTTAAATAGCTGCCCCAAATGGGGCAAGCCTAGAGCTATTACATTAAAAACACCCACACCCCAATTTTATCAAAACCAAAGAGAAAAAAATTTCCTTCCCCCAAACCCAAATATATATATATTTTTTTTCTTAAAAAAAAAATCCAAGGCATAAGTGTTAAAGTGAACCTAGAACAGGGGAATGTGAAATTTCCTCCTCCCATCCCCCTTACTGTGGGGTTAATTGGTACATCCCCAGCAGAGGGACCAGCCCCAAGGGAACGGCAGAGGGGAAGGACCAAAGGGAGCAAAGGTGGGGGCCTCCCCAGCCAATCAGCAGCCAGTAAGGGTGTGGGCGTGGTGCCAGGGAAGCCACACCCCCTTGGAATTTTCCAAGTGGGATGGGGAGGGGAAAATGCATTCCTGTATAGTCTTCAGCCAATTCATATCAAGTTGAGGCAGGGAAGCAGGGTGACAGGCGCAGGGTGTGCAGAAAGGAAAAGTGGGTCCTTTGCATTCCGGTCGTCACGGAGAACCCCGCTTCCTCAGCTCCTGGATAAAAGCTGGAAGGAAACAAGGGCCTGAGGTCAGCGCCTGCTCTTCCCCTTCCCAAGTCGGGGTTCTTTCCCAGGGTGACACATTCAAGACAAGTAAGTTTAAACAAAACCCAACCACCTTACCTTCAATTATCTCCTCTTTGACTTTCTGCAGTTCCTTCCTCACCTCTTCCAGAAGCTCCTGAAAATAACAGCCAATCAAAAAGAGACCTGAGGGGCTGGGGATTTGGCTCAGTGGTAGAATGCTTGCCTAGCAAGCTGGAAGCCCTGGGTTCGGTCCTTGGCACCAAAAACAAAACATAAACCTCCCCTAAAAAACAGTTCAACCAAAAAAATACGGTAAAATCCAAAAAGACCAAAAAACAAACAAGGCAAAAAGAGACCTGAAGTTGAGGACACAAATCTCCCCTTTCTTATTTTATGGCCAGAACTAGGGGTGGAAGGAACCCAGGGCGTCTCCCATGCCAGGCAAGGGTTCCATCCTTAGGCCACATCCCCAGGCCCCCAACTTTATGATTAGTTGCTTCAGCCTCCTGAGTGCTGGGATTAGAGGCACACATCTGGGCCCACTCTATGCCTTAAAAGTCAGAGGAAGCAGGTTCAAGGCCACCCTGCCCCCACCCTGCCACAGCTGCCAAGGTCACGGAATGACGGACTGTTCATCCTATAGGAGAATTTTAGATCTTTGCAGCCAAAAGAAAAAAGTACTGGAGAACAGCCAGTACCAAGCTAGGCAAACACACTCCAGTGTCCTGCCAACTCTGATGGGTGATGGATGGCTGCAGCCACCGGGCTGAGGAGGATTCTTCTGGGCACCCAGCAGGGATGAGAGTGCTGACCGAGCCTCCGGTCCGCTACAGGTATCGGAAATGGGGGTGTGGCGGCTGTGTCAGCCCCAACAGGATCTGCCCTGGCTCCTTCATTCCTCCCACTGGAAAATTAGGTTTCCAAGGCCTCCTCCAGAGCCAAAGGGCACACTGGTGGCAGGCTCTGGACCAGCCCCCCTCTCTCTACACGGCCCCCCCAACTCCCAGCCTCATCCCCACCTTCCCCAAAAGCTACCTGCTTCACGCTGTCCAGGTCTGACTCAGGGGCAGAGCTGGGCGTGGAGGAGTGAGGCTCGGAAGCAGCCACCGAAGACATCGACTTCATCCTGGAAGGGCCGGCATGGTTTGGGACACAAATGGAATTAGAAAGAGGACTTCCCTCTCTCCTGCCTTCCAAAACTCTAGGGGTCACACTGTGTTCCTCCCTGTAAACTGAGCAAATTCAACTGTTTTGGGGGGTAGAGCCCTAACACTGATGACCCACCTTGGCAAGGTTGTGCTGTTTTTCTCCCAGGGTCTCCGCACTGGTTCTGGGGAACAGGAGACAAATTGGAAAGGTGAGGGACAAAAATTGTCCCAAATCAAACCCTCTTCCCCAGCCTCAACAGTCTCTGTTCAAAGAGCCATTTCAGAGCAGGGCATGATGGCACATAATCCCAGCACTAGGGAGGCTGAGGCACGAGATTCACCCCAAATTCAAGTCCAGCTTGAGCTACATAGTGAGTTCAAAGCTAGCCAGAACTACATAGCAAGACCCTGTCTCCAAAAACAAAACAAAATAAAACAAAACGCAAGTCAGGAGGTTACACTTCCCAGCACTATCTTCACAGACTTTCCACAGGGTGCCGTAAGTGCAATCAGGGTATCCTGGGATTTGTAGTCTCTGTGGTGAGACTGGGCTCTTACCACTCTGGGCTGGGACTCTGGCCTCTGGTTCCTCCTGCTGGTCAGAAATAAAACTGTCATGGGCCAACCCTGCCACACCTCTGCTCACTTCCTCTTGAGGATCACAACCAGCCCAGCCTTACTCCCCTTCTCCCCCAGTACCTCTTCCCTGAGGGTACAGCCTAAGGTGTGCAGGGCAGAAGAACCCCTAACTTACACTGGCAGATTCATCCTTGGGGGGTTTCTCTCCAACTTGTGTGGCTTTCCTTCTGCAGGGGAAAAGCAAGGACAGCTGTGGTTGTCCCCCATTTCAGCCACCTAACGGTTCCCTCCCACTGGTCTAGATATATGTGTGCCAGGCTGCTGAGTTCTGGAATTCATCAAGGCTAAGGAAAGTCGAGCTTCCAGAAATTAAAGAATCATTCTTCTAGAATGAGGGTGAGGATTCCACCACTCTCACGTTTGGGAATCATAAGCTCCGAAGAGCATCAGAGGGGCTCTGTGGTAGCCTATGGGGGAGTCCAAGAATCAGAATTTCCAGTCTGCTGAGGTTCTAGAATTCAGGGTGCTAGAACAGCACACAGATTGCCAGCCAACTCTGGAGACTGCAGCCTCCAGCATCACCCCCCAAGCCAGGCTCTCGAGGGAGAACTTACACCCCAAGAGAGAAACAGGAATCAGGGCCCTTTGTGGCCATCAGGGCCCTTTGCGGAGGCCACCGCCACCAAGCTGCAGGGGCGGGGCTCAGGCTCACCTGCGGGCCAGCATGGCATTCATCTCCTCCATGAGCCCCCCACCTGTGCTCCGACTGCTCTCGGCTTTGGGCGGCCCGGAGGCTTCCTCCTGCTGGAGAAATTGAAGACAGGACTTAAAAGGTGGTCCTTCTGCCCTCTTGTGACATCTCTAGGTGACTCCCACTGCCCCACTCACCCACCACTCCCAGCCCCTCACCTTGCTGACTTTCCTGAGTTTGGCTCCAGCAATTGCTGCAGCCAGGCCAGGGGCCCCAGCACCTCCACCGCTAGGGCCCTGTGCTGTAGGGAGAGGGGGTGCAGGGGGTGGGCCTCCTCCTGCTCCATGTGCTGCAGCTGGGACCCCTGAGGGGGGCAGCCCTGGAGGTGGGGGGGGACCTGGAGGAGGAGGAGGTCCTGGAGGTGGCGGTGGCCCCCCAGCTGGGGGAGCAGGAGGGCCTCCTGAAACAAGAGCAGAAAAGGGGGTACTGAGAGAGAAGCCTCATTATTCACTGCCCAGTGGCCCAGCCCTTGCTGCACAAAGGTCCCCAATCTACATGGCCCATGGAGAGTCACCTGCATTAGAGGCCCGGCGCTCGCGCTCCATGTGCTCTGGCTGGCTGGGCTGCTGCCTGTGGAGTTGACAGTGGCTTCAGTCAGGTCCCAGAATGCTGGCCTTCCTGTTTTGTTTTGTTTTTTTGGTGGAACTGGGGATTGAACTCAGGCCCTTGCGCTTGCCAGGGAAGCACTTATTCTACTGACCTGGCCTTCCTGAGGTGCCCAGGAAAGGAGGTGCAGGGCCCAGGGCAGGCAGGGCCAGCAAGGGACCAGAATACAAGTTCCCTTGTCATTCAGCTGTCAAGAACCTCTAGATGAACAGCTTTCAGGCAGACTGCAGGGCCTGAGAATCTGAAGGGCCAGGATCTGGGGAGGCCTGCAGATTCTACAAGTTGGGTATGGAATTTCTCAAACTCTGGTGGTGGAAGGATCTGAGAGCTGTTTGTTTCTAGTACCTTCTGAGAGCTTGGAGCTAGAACACTGTAAAACTGGAAGCTCATAAAATGGAAACAAAGCTTCGTAACTAAGGAGGGGATGAAGGGTTGAAGAGGGAGGGGACAGGGAAAAAGAGAGGCAGCAAGACAATATACACAGGTACAAACTCCCTATGATGACTATGATCAGTATGTGTATCAAAACTGTATCAATAAACATAATTAAAAAAATTTTTTTAAACTACAAGCTAGAGGCTGGGCATGGTGGCGCACACCTATAATCCTAGTACTCAGGAGGCTGAGACAGGACGATTGCAAGAGACCCAGTGAGACCCTGTCTCAGACAAAACAAAAGAAAAACAAACTGGAAGCTAAAGGGATTGTGAGCTCTAGGAGTCAGGCAGGGACTTGTGAAGTCCTGGCAGGAAGTCAGGTCCCCCGATCCAGGGAGCGGCCCTACCTTTTCTGTTGCTCTAGCTCCTCTGGGGAGGGTCCGTTCTGGGCTGACCAGGCAGATGGTGTGGGAGGTCCAGGAGGGGCCCCTCCTGGAAGGGGAAAGGAGAGAGTGGTGCGTCAATCCCAGCCTTCAGCACTTTTCCCTTAGGCCACCGGAATCCTGTTCACTTCCTGAACTGCCAGGAGGCAAGCACTGGGCCCAACCTGTGCAGGTCCGGCTCAGCAGGAACCGGGACCCAGGCTGGCCTAGCAGGTAGGCTGTTTGGAGACACTGAGGCCCTCTTCCTCTCCTGCCCCAGGCCTCTGGCCTCCTCAAGCTTTCTGTGGCTGCTCTAGCGAGCAGGCTCCTGTGTCACGGGGATTTTGATCAGCAGCAGTTCCAGGGCCCACCCATCACTGAAAGCCTTGCCTTCAAATCACCAGAGGGCCTGCTAGAAATTCACTCCTGTTGCATGTGGGGCACACACTTATAATCCCAGCACTTGGGAGGCTGAAGCAGGAGGATCTCTAGAACAAGGTCAACCTGGGCTACGTAGTAAGTTCAAGGCCAGCCTGAACCACCCAGGTGAGACCCCCATCTCAAAAATGCCAGCAAGGTGGTCATGAGGGGAAAGGGACCAAGAAGCTTCTGGGGCTGGCCCTATCTACACACCTCAACCTGGGAGGTGGTCACAGGGCGGGTATACGTCCTCTTAGGAACTGTGTGTTTTACACATGGGGACACAGAAGCCACTAAATTCTCATCCAAATTTTCCATAATAGGAATGAATTAGATCTCCTTTTTTGGTGGCAATTCTGAGGATTGAGGTTATAGCTATATTCACAGCCCTTTCTTTTCTGAGACAATCTCACTATGTAGTTCAAGCTAGTTTTGGACTCTATGTAGGCAAGAGACTGGCCTTGGAACTCATGGTGATCCTCCTGCCTCAACCTCCCAAGTGCTAGGATTATAGGCATGTGCCACCATGCCTAGCAGTCCCCCTTTTTAAATTTTAAAACAGGGGCTAAAGTTTTACCCAACAGGGCTCAAACTTGCCATCTTCCTGCTTCAGCCTCCTAAAGCACTGAGATTACAGGCATGTGCCCCAATGCCTGAGATCCAGGCTGGTAAACCAGCAGCCTGAAGCCACACAGCACTGTGGTGGGGCCCCCTCTGCCCACACCCTCTCTGGGTCTGACCTTCCAAGGCTTCTAGGGCACTGGCCATGCCAGCAGCGAACTGTGCCGCATCCTCCTTGCTGCTGAAGTTGAGGCCCCAGACTTGGCGCGCATCACGCCATTGATGGAAGTTGGGGGTGGCCTGGTTATACTTGACACCCCGCATGATGGCACAGTTGATGACCACCTGGAAGGGAGGAAAAAGGCGAGTGAGGGCTGAGGGCACAGGCAGGGGTTCCACCTACAGAAAGCTAGGGGACAGAGGGAGCAGCACCTGCTGGTCGGGGTGCATCTTTCGGCCCACGACCCGGAAGGAGTTGGTCGTGGGGTTGTGGTAGATCTGGACACGACTGAAGGCCTGGGGACCTGTGCCGGCCGGGAGCCATCGCTTGCTGCTGTCATCATAAAGCATCACAGTGGCCCGGCTGGAACAGACGACCAGCTCGCTGCAGGGGAGAGAAGGGGAAAGCTTAACATTTCCCATCCAGAGAGGAAGAGTGAGACAGGGGGGTGGAATGGGGGAGGAGCGGCGGAGACCAGAGGAGAGAGCTTCTCTAACACAGCAAAAAGGAGAGACAAACAGACAAGGGAACCAGAGACAGCTTAGCAGAAGAAGAGGGCCAGCTGGGGTGTGAGAGAAATGGAAAAGTGACAGAGGGGCAGGGCAGGAAGGGTAAAAAACAGCCTAGGGTCGGAGAGATGGCTCAGTAGAATAAGTGCTTGAGTTCAATCCGGGGGGGCGGGGGACGGATGGACACACGGGACGGGGACAGGCGAGATGGACAGGTGAGGGAAGAAAAGAGCAACAGACTAACACAGGGCCAGAAACAAATAGAAGGGGGAAAGCTGGACAGGCAGGGGGCACACACACCAGAGACAGAGAGAAGGGGAAACTGGCAGATGAAGACAAGTGGAAGAGAGCAGCAGTGAGGGCTTTGGGGTAGAGGCTGAAGCCCGAGGTGACCAGAGTCCCCTGCTGGCCACTCCAGCAGCATCGTAGCCCCACCCCACCCCAGACAGGAAGCTGAGGTTCAGGGTAGAGCGAGGTGAGGTCTGTTGCAAGCCCAGAGCCATCGCTGATCCCCGCTCTGCCCCAAGTGCATCTTGCTGACCACCCCACCTAAGGCAGCAACAGCCACAACCAAGGTCTGACACCCCAGGCCCTGGGCCAGTCAGCAATAGATGGGGTTGTGAATGTCCAGGCTCAGCCATGGCCTGAACAGCCCCGGTGCCACCACCTATGGGACCTGGTACCACCATCCCATACAGCCCCTCGTGGAAGGCAGAGTGCAGACTCCAGTGTGCGAGTTCAGTCAGGAGGATCCCCAGGAAAGCCAGCTAGGCAGAAAGTCAGGTAGCAGCGCCTGCGCCTCAGGCTTTGGGGTCACCTCAGAGTTGGCACAGGACACTGCCAACGTGGGTTCAAATCACCCACCGACTCACTTCCACCAGGTAACCCAGAGGCCAGTGAGCCTTACGCTCACAACTCATCTTCCTGGTCTGAAAACTGGGGGAACAGTCCCAAGGAAGCGGGTGGGAGTAAACGAACCTGGGCACTTAACAGAGCGTGGCACAGGGCCTGGTATGTACTGAACTCTGTCATAGCAGCCTGAGCAGGTAAGGCCAGGTCAGGCAAGGACAGCACCGTCCCACAGGACAGCTATCCCTTCAGGAGGTTGAGTGCCCCTCCCCCAATGAGGAAACTGGGCTCCCAGAGGGGAAGTGACTTGGCCAAGGTCACACACAGACAGGGGAAGTTCGGAAGCTCTAGTCTGTGTCCTGTCCCAACACCCCCACCAGGCTTTTCCTGAAAAGAAGAAGTTGGGGTCAGAGGTTTCCGGGGAGACAAATTACACTCGAGCGGTCCTGTCCCCAGTGGGCTGTGAGAGTTGGGGCGGGGAAAGCACCTCCGAAGGCCCAGCTGTGCATTTCAGTGCCCCCCAGGACGGAGCCTGCCCCCATGTTTCTGTAGCTGTGGCATCTGGTTCGTTACAGCCATTGTAGCTGGATGGGGACCCTGACCCCTTCTTGGGACTACTCACTGTTCCCCCTGCAGCCCTTCACAAGGAGCCCTTTCTGAAGCTCTTTTGAAAATGGGGATTGCAACAGAGGTCCAGAGATGCCGAGAGATTTGTCCATAGTCACACAGCTGCTGGGTGGCAGATGGAGTATCAGAATCCAGGCCACCTGGCTCCCAAGTCCACAGTTCTTACCCCAGGGACAGTGTGGGCCCTACCCAAATACTGGGCCCCACTTCCAGACAAGCGCAGCCTCAGGGGCTGTTTCCAGCCGCCTGCACCCCTGGCAGGCAGGGCTGGGACCTCACCCACACCTGCCGCCCACACCCAGGCTCTGGACAGAAGCCCAGGGCTGTCACTGCCTGGCCCGCTGCACTTTGGTCTCCCAGGTGGCCCTGCCCTGCACCAGCCCCGGGCTTCTGAGTGACCCTGGGCGGCTCCTGCTCTTGTCCAGGTCTTAATGCTTCATTCAGAGAAGGGTCTTGCAAAAGCAGAGGCAGGCAGAGTCTCTTTCTTGCTCAGAAGTTCCTGGGTCCCGCAGAACAAAAGGGGTTCTCTCAAGCCTGGATTCCCACCTGCTTAGGTCTCAGCGTTGAAGATGTCACTTCTTCCAAGAAGCCCTCACTTACTACCACCTGTCAATCCCCGGTCCTCTCTCACCTGATCTTCCCAACCACAAGTCAGGCCAACAGAACCAGTTTGGTCCCTTTTGCTCATTGTCTCTCCAAAACCCAGAACTGTGCCCAGTCTTTAGCAGGTGTCCAGTGGTTGTTTTATAAATGCAGTCTTGATGACAGCTGACACTGATAGGTTAGCTTGCGCCCCAGACACCATGCTCCATCCATTGCCACCCTGCGTGGCTCTCTGGCCTCCTTAGACTCTGATGCTTATCCTTCTGACAGACATGGAAACAGAGGCACAGAGTGGTGAAGACACTTGCCACAGGTCACACAGCAAGTAAGCAGAGACATTCATGTTTGAGCCCAAGTCCTCCTAAGCGTTAACCTTATTTAAAGTTGAGAAAAGACAGCAAAGGTGAAATTTTTAAAGGCAAGGTACAAAGTAGTGTGGCTCAGAAGTTTGAAAAAAAAAAAGGTGGGGAGGATATAAATAAATGTGCAGCTCTGTAGCGTACCCAGAGGTTTCTCAGGAGACTAACAGCAGTGGCCTCTTGAGAATCCGACTGGGGGCCTGGGACCGAAGGAAGCAGACACTTCACGTGCTTTCTGCTTTTCGACTGTTTCACTGGGGTTTTTTTTTTGTTTATCATGAGCTGGAATTACCTGTAAAAACCTAGCTCCTTACTTACATTTAAAAAAAAATGAAACTCTGAGCTAGGCAAAAACTGCAAGGTGTGGAAAATCCCACAGTCAAGAAGCACATGTGGAGGTGAGACAGGTTCCTCTGGTCTCCAGGGCCCTTAACCCAGCCCCCCATGGGCCCCTCTCTCCAGGGAGTCACCTCTGTGGTGTGACTTCACCTCTCTGGCCCTCAGTTTCCATCCATGAAAAACAAAACTCACTGGGTTTATTGTAAGGATGAAAATAAAAAGGTTGGGCGTGGTGGCACACGTCTGCAATCCCAGCATGCAGGAGGCTGAAGCAGGAAGATCTGGCAAGTTTGAGACCAGCCTGGGCTACAAAATGAGGTCAAGGCCAGTCTGGGTTGTATTATAGGGAGATCTTGTCTCAAAAAGAAAAAAAAAAAAGGAAAAAGAAAGAGGTCATGGACACAAAGCCCTAAACTTAGGAGCTGGTAATTGGCATTTTCTCCACATGGGAGATCTAAGAATCAGAACAGAAGGGGAGCTTCCCATTGGGGGCTGAACAAGCACATCATGACTCCCAGTGACATCAACCTCCACATGAGTCTTGCCCTTCCTTTTACAGAACACAACCTCAAGACTTGCCCTGTAGCCTCCTTACACCATAAAACTTGTGACACACAGACACACACACACACCCCTCTTTCCTAAACTATAAATCTCTGAAACAATCCTGGGTAAGGAACTACTCTAGGGTCTGTGGGATTTCAGTGGTTTCCCTGTAGTCCCTCCTTTCAGGTGGGCCTCAGCTTCCTGAGAAGTTAAAGTTCTAGCTTGAGTTTCTTTTTGCTTACCCAAGCTACCTCAACTTTCCCCCTTTCCCCAGTAAAATCACATTAATTGTATTTAAAAAAAACAACAACCAGCAAACCTAAGACTTTGTCTTCACTAGCACAATAGTTGGAGATAGCCCTAGATTCGGATTAAACAGTTCAAAACTGTCTGACTTCAAAAGCCCATTTGTTTAACTTCTTCGAGCCTTAGTTTCCCCATATGTAATAGTATGGACACAAGACTGTACTAAGCATGGATTTAGAATTGTGTGGGGACTCTCAGAAACCTAGCGCACTGTATGGGACAAAGCAGATAAAAGTAGGTACCTGATCGCCACATGATCTTACTTTCTTTTGAGGAAAAGATAAGAACAAGAATTTGTACTACTACTGTGAGAAGAAAAAGGACCCAAATTCTTCCCAAGTTTCTTCCAAACGAGCTTCTCTGACCTCTGGCCCCCTTCCCTGTCTTCCCAGAAGCCTAGCTCCCGGACACAGCAGACACTCAACAAATATTTGTCAAACTGGGAGAAAAGAACTCTATCTTGTAACTTTCCATCTAACATCCTCTCTTCTAACTGCCCCCAGGACTGCCCCAGACAAACGGGCAGTGCAGCGAACAGCCAATCCCAGCTTCTTTCCTCTTCTAATATTGCGTAAGTATTTCTTAGAGCTGTGCTCCAGGCTTTCTTCTCTTTGAGCCTCAGTTTCCCCAGACAGGAATAGGTCCAGGGATCACTTTAAAGCCCAGATATCCTTGGAAAAGGGTTCCAAGCCCTGAAACTTCCGCATGACCACTGCCAAGACAGAGCCCTCAGGAGGTGGAACAGCCCTCTCTGGTGGGTCAGGCACCCCCCCACCCCGGAAGTAGAGGCTTGGCCCCGTGGGGGACCAGGCCACTGGCTGGGGGTGGGAGCAGGAGGCAGGCCCAGAAACTGCTCCTGCCCTTTTACGGTCTCGCAGCGAGTGAGGCAGCACTAACTCGGACATCCGCCATCCGCCTTCCACCGACCCGGCCTGGGACCGGAAACGGGAGGGGGCGGGGCGGGGCCGGGGGCGATGGGAGAGAGGAGTCCCCGAGGAAAAGGGTGAAGGAGAAGAACCAGATCCAACAAACTGTCCTTCCTCCGGGGACAGGGTCATCACTCTCCGGGGGAAAGGGTTGGCAGTTAGTCTGGAGGGTGTCTACCGTGTACCCTAGCTCTAGATCTTCCAACAATCCCTTTCACACCAGAACCTCCTCCTTCCTAAAAAGGAATGTCACCCTGATGTCAAAGGGTCTGAGTGTGGGGAATGTAGGGGGGAAGTAGAGGGTGTGAGCACCAGGGGGTTAATCCCAGCGGTCCCCAGGGGCCTCCTCCTCAGGCCCCAGACTTGCGGGCAGGAAGTCCCAGAGAGAGTGGAGGAAGGGAGATAGTATTGTCAAGCTCTGGACCCAAGGGAGCGATTATGGGGGGTCCAGGGAAGGGATGATTGGGGGTGGAGGTGCATCCAGCACTGGCTTTGCCCCTAGGTGAGTCCAGGAAGCCAGTTTAAGACAAAAATCCATGAGTCCCTTGGGCGCCTCACCCCCAGGATTAAATTCCTGGGAAGACGGCAGGAACTGTCTGGTAAGCCTGGGTCCTGGGGAAGAAAGCTATGACCTTGAAGCTCTCCAATGCCCCCTCCTCCAATCCCAGAGCCCCGGAGGGCTTGGGGGGCAGAGGAGGAGGGGGTGAAGGCAGCCGGCCCCGCCAAGCTGCAGGCCCGCCCCCCCACACCAGCTGTCTCGACAGGTGAGTCAGGAAGACAAAGGCCCCCTCCCCCAGCTGCCGCGCCCCCTCCCTGCCTGGCCGTCAGGTGGGGGAGATCGGCTGCCCTTCTGGCCCGGGGCCGGGGAGCCGCCCTCTGCACAGCTTGGGCAGGGCAGATCCCGGGTGCACGGTGCCCTGCGAGAGGGGTGAGAAGTCCCAACCAAATCCCGGATCTGAGGGTCTGCCCACAACAACCTCAATCGTTGGGGACCCAAATAACCACAAAATGCAGAACAAGAAGTACTCCCTAAGTTAAGGAGCACGGTCCCACTGGGGGCGACTTCCTAGGGCCACAGAAACGGGGGACGGGACCATGCCAATTAGGGTCGGTATCTCAGCTTCTCTACCAGGTCTTCGGGTCTCCCAAACCGTGCCCCCGATCCCTCCCAGGACCTCGACTTGAGGTTTAGAGAAATCTGAGTCCCGCTTAGATCCCAGCATCCCCGCGGGGAGCATCTGCCAACTTGGATGTCCTCTGAAGAAAGTCTTCAAAATTCGAGACTCCCCAGAGCGCCCCCAAATCCGAGAAGTCTCAAGAGAACCTCACCGGCACCGCCCTGAGCTCCGAGTTGCGGGCAGGTGGTCAATATTTAGAGTTCGTCCGAGCGGACTGAGCCCAAACCGAGCCCACCCTCTAGCCCGATCCCCAAATTCCAGCACGGAGCGAGGGGGGAGGGGACAAAGGGGGGGCGAGGAAGAGTCCGTGGGAGGCGCGGGGCTCACCTCATGGCTGCGCGGCGGGCGGGCAGGCGTGCCCACCGGGCGGTGCTCCCGGGGCGCCCCCGGCTCTCGGTTCAGGGGTGCGCGGCTGGCTCTGGGTCTGCTCAGTCTCCCCCAGGGTCCCGCCCCATAGAGTCCGGCTTCCTGGGGGAAACGTGGACTGGGCCGGGGCGGGTCTTCGGGCGCCTCTTCCCTCTGGTAGTCTGCTTGTATGGGGGGGTCCCCGCAAAAGAAAGGGGGTGCGGCGTCCCCTCCGCGGCGCGCCCCCTCTGCCGCCGGCGGCTCCAATGTTACTCTTACTACTGTACTTCTCGCTCCAAAATTCCACTCCCCGCACCCACAATGCCCCGCGCCTTAAAGCGGCCGCAGGAACGGAGGGAGGGGGCGGGGGGGCTGGCGGAGCGCGCTTAAAAGGGCAACGCAGAACCGCGACTTCCGCAATTTCTCTTTCTTAACGTTATCGCAGAGGTGAGCATCCCGGGCCTCACCCCCAACTGGAGGGCAAGTTTGGTAGAGAACGGATAGTTCCTGGATCTCTCGCTGTCACTCGGTGTAGGAATTCTTACAGGGATCTCACTGGGGCACAATCTCTCGCGTCCTACTCTCCCCACCGACTTCTCCATTTAACAGTCTCAGTTTGGGGAGGCGGGAAAGGCCCTCTGGTTAAGCAAGGGCTTTCTGAAATTTTCTACCTTAAAAGCTACATTTGGACACCCGATCCACTCCATTACCCAGGACTCGCTTCTCAGTTTCTAAGGGGTGAACAACCCCACTTCACACGAGAGCGGAAAGGCAGCGAGGGCCCCCCTCATCTTTGCCCCTCACCCGTCCGCCTGCCCGCCGGGGAAGGTGAGGAGGAAGTGGGCCGAGGGGGCGCGGCTGGCCGCTGACTCACGGCCGCGGGGTCGGAGGTGGGTGGAGTGGGGCGGGGTCTGGCAGGGGAAGCAATGGTGGAGGGTGCTGCGCCTGCTGGGGCTGGGGACGGGACCCCAGGTTCTTGTGTGGACAAAGCACCTGGCCCCCTCCCCATGCACCTCCCGTAGGGCAGCAGGAGCATCCCAACCGCACCGCGGGCACAGAGCTGACGCAACCCCTCACCCCCCCATGCCTGCTCCAGGTGGAGCTGGTGGACACCTTATCCTGCAGGTCCCGCCCCAAGCGACGTCACTATCATGACTACGCCCCACAGGACACTGCTTGACCTGGGTGAGGTGTTATATTTTATTTATTTTGGTTTTCTGAGACAGGGTCTTGCAGTGTACTCTAGGCTGGCCTGGAACCCATGGCAATCCTCCTGCCTCAGCCTCTGAAATACCAGGATTACTAGCGTGCACCACAGTGCTCGGCGGGTGAGGTGTCTTCATTCTAGGAAAGCATCAGTTCTACTTTGACAAATTGGTAAACTAAGGCCTAGGGGCAGGAAATGAATCAGGCCTAGAATCTGGGCCATGGCCCCCCTGCTTGAGCTCCAGAACCCCTAAACCTAAGATAGGTGTGAGTGCAACACAATTCTTAGAGCCCCAGCTGACCAGGTGAATCAAACTTCGCATGTTTTATCCAAGGGCAGCCCCACACCCCTTTACAGTGGACACCTATCTCACCTTTGTAGGTCTCATGCTGACATTAATTCTGCTCTAAAGAGCTGGGAAACCTCCCCTTCCTCATGCTGCTGTGGGAGACCTTGAACCTGGGTCCAGGGAGGCTATTTGTGTCTTTTGTGGCTTTGAGTATTTGGGAGCAAGGCTAGAACTTGACCCACTCTGGACCTCATCCAAACAAGCCGAGCCGAGGACAACAGCTCAAAAACATTCTTCCAGCTGACAGAGGGCCCAGTTCTGTGACCTTGGCCAAGACCTTTGTCCTCTCTTAGCTTTCCCGTCTGTAAGATGGGTTGGGTGATATTTCTGGGTGCCACCTATACTATAGCGAGTTGGCAAACTTTCTCTAAAAGTCCAAATAAAGGAGCCAGGGAGATGACTCAGTACAATAAGTGCTTCCCTGGCAAGCACAAGGATCTGAGTTCAATCCCCGGTTCCAGGAAGAAAAAAAAAAAAAAAAAAAGTCCAAATAGTAATTAACTCTAGGTGTGTTGGACATAGCTCTGTATCACATATACTTTTTTATTTTTTTCTTTTTGCTATGCTGGGATTGAACATAGGGCTTCATGAATATATGTAAAAATTTTGAATAAGTCTTTAAAATGTAAAAAGCAGTCTTAGTTTGGAAGTTGTACAAAGCAGACAGTAAGTGCCAGCCAGATAGCTCAGTGGACTAAAGTGCCTGCTTAGGCAGAGTGCAGCGGCCCAGGGTTCAATCCCGGCTTGCCATGCCGGCCCTGCCCGCAGGGCGCACTGAGATGGCGTTTGAGACTAAGCATGGTAGTGTGTGCTCAGAGTCTGGGAGGCTGAAAACAGGAGAATCACTACAAGTCCAATCTGTGTAGTGAGACCCTGTAGACCCTGCACTGAATAAAAAAATAAAGAAAAGGGCCGGGCAGATAGCTCAGCAGGCTTAAGTGCCTGCCTGGCAACACAAGGTCCTGAGTTTGATTCCCGGTACAAAATTATAAATAAATAAAAGTCTAGGGACTAGGATGTAGCTCAGTGTAATGAGTCTGGCTTCAAACCCCAGTTTAAAGAGAAAGAATGGTAGGAGGAAATTGTGAATGACATGGGTGAAGTTTTTATGTTTTTTGAGACTGAGTCTGTGTGTAGTTCAGGCTGGCCTTGAATTTACTATGTAGCCCAGGGTGGCCTTGAACTTGTGGCCATCCCCCTGCCTCAGGCTCAGAAATGCTGAGATGTGCATCACCATGTCTGGCATGTACAGTTGTTTTTTTTTTTTAATGATTTTATTTATTTAGTTATTGTCTTTTTTGAGACAGTTTCGTTATGCAAGGCTGGCCTTGAACTCACTTTGTAGCCCAGGCTGCCCAGAACTCAGCCTCCTGAGTGCTGGGATTACAGGCATAAGCCACCACGCCCAGCCTTTAATGTATTATTGACAGAAAAAAAAAACATTGCCAAATAATATATGAGGCATGGAAGAATCAAGCAACACTTAAGGCATAACACACGCACACACACATGCACACACACGCAGAGTAAACTGTCTGGTGGAGCTATTCCAAACGCCATAGTTACCAGTGGTGTGGGGAGTACAGGAAATGTGACCAGATATCTCACACCTCCTCTAGACAATGCCAAGTTCAATCCTGCTCTTAGACCTCTGCACTGGCTATAGCCTCTCCTAGGATGTTCTTGTCCCCTGGGCCTGTATGTGGCTGGCTCCTTTCCTGTCAGAACTTTCTTCAGTTGTCCCCTTCCGAGAGACCTCCCCCATTCCACTGCCACGCCTCAGTGGTGGAAGGATAAGAGGATGGAGAAAACTATTCACTGCACAGCATCTTGTACCTTTTGAATTTCAAAATAAATTACCCATTCAAAAACTAAATAAATGGCATTCAAAATAAAAATAGCCACAAAGTATGTCCTTAATCATTTTCTTTATTTTTTTGGTGGGGTCTTGCTAACTTGTTCAGGATGCCTCCAACTAGTGATTTTCCTGCCTCGTCCTCCCAAGTAGCTGGGGCTGTGGACGTATACCACATGACTGGCTGGCTTCCTTCTGGTTTTTTGAGACCAGATCTTACTATACAGTCCGGGGTTGCTATGAATTCACTATATAGTCAGCTACCGTCAAACTCACAGCAGTTGTCCTGCCTCAGCCTCCTGAGTCCTCCGATGTGTGTGCTGGCATGTCCAACACAGTCATTTTTTAAAGATAGCCTATTTTTCTCATGATAGTTGTTTACTATGAATGAGACCTGATGTACATCAGGTGTCCCCTACATATTTTCTGACTAGGCAAAATAACTTTATATATATATATATATATATATATATATATATATATATATATATACAAAATATATTAGGGAGGACCAGCGGCATAGCTCAGTGGACTAAGTGCCTGCTTTGCTTTGCCAAGTGCAGGGATCGGGGTTCAATCCTGGGTCCAGTGTGCCTTGCCAGCCACGCCCCCAGGGCCTGCTGTGCCTGCTAATGAGTTGGGGCACACCCATAATCCCAGCGCTGGGGAGCCTGAAAACAGAAGAATCACTACACGTTTGAGCTGTGTAGTGAAACCCTGTACCAAGTACATAAATGACCAAAAAATTATATATATGGAGATTGCTCAGCAGGCATAAGTGCCTGCCTGGCAAGCACACAGTCCTGAGTTCAATTCATATATATATATATCATATATATATGGAGTTACCTAAATAATTAAAATTCTAGGACCAGGGAGATAGTTCAGTGGCATAAGCACCTGCCTCACAAGTGCAAGGTCCTCAGTTCAATCCCTGGTACTGTAAAAAATAAATAAAATTCTAATAATCAGGGGCTGGGGAGATGGCTCAGTAGGATAAGTGCTTGACTAGCAAACGCAAGGATCTGAGTTCAATCCCCGGTTCCGCTAAAAAAAAAAAAAATTCTAATAATCAAAACTCCCCTACTGGTGTTTGAAAATTAGGAAGGAGGGGCTGGTGAGATGGCTCAGTGGTCTAAAGCACCTACTTACAACAAGCTTAGCAAAGCACAGGGACCGCAGTTCAATCCCCCAGCACCACATGCCAGCCAGCCCCGCCCCCTGGTGGCCTGAGCTGGCCACACACACACACACACACATATAAATAAAATTTAAAAAAAAAATTAGGAAGGAAAGAAAAGGTTGTTGAACTGGGTGATCTTTTAAAATCTATTAAGTTCAAAACTTTTTAGGGTTTTTTTTTTTTTGGGGGGTCTGGATGGTGTGGAATTTCCCTCTCCTAAGTCTTTTCTGTGAGGAGGAAGTAAGAGAAAGGGAAAAAGAGTATTGTGGGGTTTCTCCACGGGCTTGTCTTTCTTCTGCTGGTCCATGGAGGTAGGAAGGGGGTAATTTTCTTGTTTGGTCTCTTGGCCCCCTTTGAGCTGACAGCCAGGTCCCAATGAACAACAGTCAGGCTTCCAAGTCCAAGGCAGAGTTCAAGTAAGAACTGGGGGCTCCCCAGCCCCACCCTGCACCTTCTGCAACACAGAACGAGGACAGGGTGAAGAGAATCTCTGCTTGGCCCTTGGAACCTACTCCCCTTCCTTCTGCAAGAATCACTCCTATTTTCTTTTCAGGAACCCCACTGCCCCTCATCTTAATCCCTCAGCTTTTGGTGGAGTGGATCCCAGTGCAAGTTGGACTTGTGATCCCAGCCTGGCCAATCAGAGAGTCTGTGGGTCAGGCACATGACCCTAGTTATCCAATGGGAACTAGCTCTGGCACCAGCTGCAACTACCAGGAAATCACCAAAACCTGTGCACTGAGGCCAGCAGGCCAGGGATCTGATCGTGGCTCTGCAACTCTCGCTTTCTCACAAGGAGACCCTGCATGGTAATGAAGCCAGTTCAGCAAAAATAAAACTAAAGAGAAGTTTCCTGATGACATCAAGTGATGACCAGAGGTAGGACTTCCTTAAGTCCCCAAAAGTCCTCAGTTAAGTGGCCCAGGAAATTCCCTGCTTTACTTTCCTAGATTCCTGTCACTCACAGTTCAATGAATCCTGCCCAATATCTCCTGCCACTGAGAAATGACCAACAACCCTTCATTCACATGGTAATAAACAAACTCCTTTCTCTGCTTTGCGTGGGCCGTTGCTTCTCTGCTTCTCCCTTGTATTTCTCCCTGCCCTCCACCCCAGGGCTACATCCGCCTTGATACCTTTGCAAATCCTCAGCTATCTAGGTCCAATTACAGCCTTTCTCTTCCCTCCAAGACTGGGACATCTTCAGAGATCCTGGAGGGGTCTACTGGGCAGTCAGGCATTTAACTTTCCCAGCATTTTCCTGTTTGGGGTAGTGATGGGGCTTTCCAGAGCCCAGCAGAGGCTCCAGTTCTTCAGGGGGAAGCACAGCTGTTCTCTGCACCTGTATCCTTCCCCACCCACCATCATGCCTCACACAGTACTACAGAGCAACAAGGCTACATTAAGGCCGTCATGCAAGTTCCTTGTCACCATGGCCTTCAAATTCCACACGTACGCCTGTAATCCCAGCACTTTGGAGCCTGAGGCTGGCAGATCGCCACTTTGAGTTTGAGCTCAGTCTAGGCTACATAGTGAGTTCAAGACCAGGTTGAACTACATAGTGAGACCCTATCTCAAACACACAAACAAAAAAAGAGCAGGAGAGCACAGGTTTTGAGTTGAGGCCAATCTGAGCCACATGAGGGGTTCAAGGCCTAACTAGACTGCTTAGCAAAAACAAACAAAAACACAGGTCCTGGGTAGGAGATTTAGCGCAGTGGGAGAGCCTTGCCTAAAATGTGCAAGGCCCCAGGTTCAATCACCGTGCTACAAAATAAATAAATAAATAACAGGATCCTTACCTTACAACACTCTTCTGAGGCTTGGTGGAGCCGAGAATAAGCTTCAGCGATGACAGCAGCCCTGGGGAGCACAGGAAGGCCCTCAGGAGGAAACTCTCACACTGCCGCTCCTCCCTCAAGTACCCCACTCAACTCACTTGCAGTGTAGGCCTCCCCCAGGAGGTAAATCTGGGATGTCCTCAGAGGCCAGAGTCCTGAAGACTGTGTTTAGGCTGAGGAGCTCCTGAGTAGAGGCACACAGCTCTGAGAAGGAGATCTGTTTATGGGGGAGCCCCTGTTTGACACTGCCCCTCCCACTGGGCTCTGGCCACTGCTCACCAGCAACTCTCTGGCCCAGGGCTGCATCCAGCGCTAGCTCCCTCCTGATGGCCTCCTCACAAGGCCTGGGGGCCCCTGGGAAGCAGACCACGATGCAGGTCATGTTGTCCAGGCTACCCTGGGTAAAGTGCAAAAAGGGAAGCCTGGTGGGAGGAGGATGGGGCTCTAGCATAGGGTTCAATGCCCTGGGAAGGATAGTTTCCCAACAATCCTGGTGTCCAAGTCCCCTCACCAGTCTGATTATGCCCATCTCTCTCAAGTCTTGCCCATCTCTGCCAGTCTGAATCAAGCCATCAGCCAGGTGTGGTGGTGGCACACATCTGCAAACGCAGCACTCTGGGAGGATGGCAAGCTCAAAGCCAGCCTGGACAATCGAGCGATTTAGAGACCTCCTGTCCCAAAATTAACAACCAAAAGGGGCAGGGAAGTGACCCACTGGGGATGTACTCATTATAAGACCCTGAGTTCAATCCCCGGTATAAACAAAAAATAAACGAAGCTGTCTCCCACCTGGAGCAACCTGTTCAGCCACACCCTCTCCCTATCGAAGACCTACCTTGTTAACAGAATTTACACATTTTATCCGGCCTGTCTGCTCCATTGTCTAGCAGTTCTTGCATCCTCTGGCACTCCTAATTACCTCAGCCCCAGCCCCCTGCCAAACCACGCCCCTTTTCCTAAATCCCTTCCACCTGCCTATCTAGCACCATTTACCCATCTAGTCTTCAACATCCATAGGCCCCACCCAAACCACGTTTTGCCCCTCCCAATCCTAGAAGCCTCGCTCCGGGTCGAGCCCCTCCTCCCCCAAACAATGAGCCCTTTTTCTCTACTGCTCCAAGCTTCTACTACCCTACACCCAGCCCCAGGACCTTGCACAGACACGTGTCCAACAGCTGCGCGCAGAGAAGCTCCGGGGCCAGGCCTAGACGGAGGCGCGATGCCACCAGTCCTGCCAGGGCAGCTGTAGACATCGCGTCCCACACGCCGTCAGAGGCCAGGAGGATGAACTCGTCCTCACCCCGGCGAGCTAGCGCAGCCACCTCAGGTTCCGCAGAAACCAGCTGCAGCTCAGGGGGCCTCCCTGGAGCCTGCTTGTAGGCAAAGTCGCCCAGAGCTCGTGACACGGCCAGGGAGCCTTCGACGCGCCGGCGGCAGATGGTGCCACCCGCGTCGTAGATGCGCTCGCGTTCCCGCGGCCGGAGAGGCCGGTGGTCCTCGGTGCTGAAGGCTACGGCGCCGGCGCGACTCAGCACTGCACGGGAGTCTCCACAGTGAGCCAGGTACAGAAAGCTCGGGGAGACGAGCAACGCCACCGCTGTGGAGCCACCGGCTTCGCCACGCGGCCAGAGAGCACGCAGGCGCTCGTCGGCGTTCAGGAAAGCTCGGCGCAGCGCCCCCCGCACACCCTCGGGCTCGGAGGGCGCCGAGCCCAGCTCCTTGAGCACGTGGCCAGGGAGGTGGCGCGCGCCGAAGTGGGCGGCTCGCGCCCCGCCGTGGCCGTCGAGCACCGCGAAGAAAGCCCAGCCCGGGGGCAGCCCGGGTAACGCGGGCCAAGCGCAGTGCGCGTCCTCCATGCGCGCGCGCCAGCCCTGCGCGGCGCTAGCCCCGAAACGCAGGCTCCCCGAGGCTGCGCCACCCCCGTGTGGCCTCTGGGTGCATCGCGGTGCAGCCAGGAGATAGTGGGGCCCGTCGGGGACTCCGAGCCCCGCCTCCTCCTCCTTCTCGGCCCGTTCTTCCTTGCGATCCGGCCAGAGGAGACACTCTAGGAGCCGACACAGGGCCGCCATCCTCCCTCCACTCTCCGCACCTGCCTCTTGCACACCCCCTCATTCCACCGTTAATCCCTCCTCTGTGACAGTTTAAACCGACTAAACCTCCTTCCTGTCCTTTGACCTGCACTCAAGCCGGGTCATCTCTGGATCTTCTCTCTTCTGCACCTTTCACGCTGAGTCTGGGAACCCGGTTAGGAAAAACTGGTAATAGCAAACTATCACGTACTACTTACCACCTGCCGCCGTTACACATCACCAACGTACAGAAGAGGAAAATAATTCACAGAAAACGTAAGCGGTGTTATAGAGAAATGAAATCTAGAAACTGTTCTCAGCACAACCCTCTCGGCTTCAGGTCCTAGATAGGCTCAGCCTGAGCGCTGCCCACTTTGGTGGTCCAGGCTTCAGCTTCAAAACTTATACAGTACTTTCCAGATTCCTCTCTACTGGGCCCAGGTGCCGCCCATCCATTCGCGCCCACATCGCCAATGGAATGTAAAAGTCTTCAGACCCTTCCATTTTCTTAATCCTGTCATTCATCTCTAACCCTTCCTCTTAATTCCAGCCTAGACCCCAAACTGACTACTTGGTCCTGAAAATCGGATTACTCCACCTGGGCCGTGCCCCCTCCTCTGCTCCTTCCCACCAATTCCCTCTCAGCCACGCCTATAGCTCCCGCCCCATCCAATCCTGTGAATAATCCTACCTAGGCATCAGCCCCACCGTATCACATATCCTCCCCGCTCTCGAAAGTTGCTGAGTACTTTGTTCTCAAATTTCTCGTTCCCTCTGAGAATCTAGTCTCGGGTCCTACTTGAGAGCACTAGATTTTTTCCAGCCCTTCCTCAGTGCCATCCCTAGATCTACTGCGACCGGCTCTGAGACCCTCGCTGCTTCGACACCTTTACCAGTCTCTTTCCAGATCCTCATCTTGCCCCAGATCCTTCCGATTCCTCTAAAGGCTACGCCCCCTTCTTTCTAGACTCCACCCTTTAGATGGTTTCCACTACATCGGGGCTTGTGGTCGGCCCTGCCACCTGCGTTCTTTTAGTAAGAAGACCACGCCCCTCTCAGTGCTAGTCCATGTCTCCCCGCCCCCGTGCCCTCCCTCAGGCCCCGCCCCTATGGTCCCCCTGGCCCCGCCCCCGGTCCAGCGCTGCAGTGCCTGCTCCACCGCGGCCCCGCCCGCGAGCCCGCGCCGAGCCTAGCAGAGGGCGGCGGCGGCTGCTGGAGCAGCCTGGGAGGAGGCGGCGAGGATGGCAGCATCGTCGTGGGCACGGCGAGGATGAACAAACGCGGCTCCGGGCCCAGGGCGGCACGGCCGGAGTGGGCGGGGGTCCCGATGCAGGCCCGAGGGGGGCCATGGGGCAGGTCCTGCCGGTCTTCGCCCACTGCAGTAAGTAGAGGGAGGCTCGGGCCTGGAGTGGCTGCCTGAGGAGGGTCCCACTGGTTTTCCCCTCGCGCCTTGCTGTAAAGAGAGCCGGGCTGAGGAAAGGAAGCGAAGGAGACAAAGGAAGCTGTCCCCTCCCCCCTCTCCCCGCGCTCTGGTGGCAACGGGGGCAGCCTGACCCGGAGGACCCGTGTGGAACCGGGCGGAGGAGGGGCCTCTGAGATTGCTGGCCAGGGGCGCTCTGGGCGCTAGGAGGCATCGCCCCGCCCAGCCTGGGGGGGGGGTGCAGCGGGGAGCTGTCCCAGGACCCTGGTGCTGGCCAGAGCTGCCTGGGAGGGGGCTGAATGGAGGGGCAAAGCCAGGATAGAGAAGAGGGGTCTGGCTTCTATCGACTGTCTGTGCATCCCACCCTCGTCTCCTGCCCAGAATACAGCCTTAACCTTGCGCAGTGCCCAAGCCCCTGTCCCCGGTAAACAGCCACTGCTGGGTTGGTGCCAGCACTCTGGGTCTTTAGTGGGCTTTCCAACTCATTAACGTTAACCCTAGTGAAGAACTACTCCACTCCAGGCCTCTGATTCCCCAATTGAAGAAACGAGGTGGGGGCTGGGGGTCTGATTCGACTTCCAAATGGTGCTGAGCATCATTGAGCATCTCCTCTGTGCAGAGCCCGAGCCAGTTCAGAAGTGCTGGAGCCCCTGCTGAAAATACCAGGGTAGATCTTTGTATCTCAGAGTCCAGTTCTCTGGCAAACCTTGTTTACCATCCTGTAGGATGGTTCTGTCAAAACCATCGGGGATGTCGCCCTGCTCCAGTGTGGCCATTTGCATGTCTTAAGTGTCCAAATACCCAAATCCTAAGGATTTGTGACTTCATTTTAGAATCCCATCCCTAATTCTAAGATCTCGTCCTTACCACAGGGATTACAGAATCTCCTGTGGTCTTCCTCTCTCCCCCAGTCACTCCTTCACATGTTGGAGTTCCTCGCAGACCTCAAGCCTAGTGCTTATGTCAGGGGCTGTGCACTGGCTGTCCCATCCACCTGAAAGACTTCGCTAGATGTCTTAGTAGCTTTCTCCCTTCCTTCTGGTCTCTGCTTAAATATCATCTTAGTAGAGAAGCCTTATTGATCACCATGTGTGAAATAGGGCTCCTTTTTCTCTTCCCTTACTCTGCATTATTTTTCTACCCACACTTATTAGGACCCAAACTTTATTGTCTTTCCCATACGTTGTAAACACTACTGGACAGGGACTGTTTTGTTCATAGCTCCATTCTCCAGGGCCTAGAACATTGTCTGGCATATAGAAGGTGCTTGGTCAATGTTGAAAGGGTAAATTAAAACCTCCCAATATCCCTAATTTAAAGACTCTTTAAGATTAAGATTCTTGGATATGAACTTCTAAGAAAGACTCTGAGCTTCTGACAACACAATGTGTATGCAGAATGTCCTAAAGGTCCTGTGATCCAAATATTCTAAGATTCCATAATTCAGAGCATCTAAGATTCCGGGACTGGCACACTTCTGTTGATTCGGACAGTCTAAGAATCTCAGAGTCTTCGGTTCTTTCCTTCTCCCAGAGGAAGCTCCATCTACAGCCTCTTCTACTCCTGATTCCACTGAAGGTAAGTGAAAGGGTGGATTCGAGGGCCGGGCTTTCAAGGGTTTCACCGCCTGGGCAGGTCAGGCTTCTTCTCTGAGAAGCTCATGGCCCTCCTTTGCCCACTGGAGGAGGCAACGACGACTCAGATTTTCGGGAGCTGCACACAGCCCGGGAATTCTCGGAAGACGATGAAGAGGAGACCACGTCGCAGGACTGGGGCACCCCAAGGGAGCTGACCTTCTCCTACATAGCCTTCGATGGTGTAGTGGGCTCTGGGGCCCGCAGGGATTCAGTGGCCCGCCGCCCCAGGCCTCAGGGCCGCTCAGTCTCTGAACCGAGAGACCCGCCCCCACAGCCTGGCCTGGGGGACAGCTTGGAGAGCATCCCCAGCTTGAGCCAATCCCCAGAGCCTGGACGCCACGGTGATGCTGACAGCGTCCCTCAAACAGAGCGTCCCCTAGAGGATCTGAGGCTCCGGCTGGACCAGCTGAGCTGGGCTGCCCGGGGAGTGGGGTCTGGGGAGGACTCCGCCACCAGCAGCTCCACCCCGTTGGAAGACGAGGAACCCGACGGATTGGAGGCAGAAGAGACTGGAGAAGGTGAGAAGTCAGAGTTGCTGGGACCTGAGCCACAAAGGGTGGGTGGCCCCTCCTCCGGGACCCTCCAAGAAGAAACTCAGGAGCTTTGCTCTCTACCTCTCACAGAACTGGACCTACAGCTCCGACTTGCTCCATCCTCAGAGCCTGAAGTAGTGACTCCCCATCCCATTCCCGTCTCTGGTTCTGAGACCACCCAGGCCTTCACCCTGTCACCATCCACACCCCAAAACCTGAACTCAGGGCCTGAAGAGCCCACACTGGAAGAGGAGAAGGAGTTCCATGGGCCACAGGAGACAGAACCAAACACAGGACAGTGTCTCCACCGCATGGGCCAATCAGAATTCAGCCTGGAGCCACACCCTTTGGGTAAGCAGCATGTGCTCCATTGCTTACAAAGGGTGAGAGGGTTGGGATTTAAAGGAACACAGGACAATGGAGAAGGGAAGAGACATTTGAAATTAGCCTATTTAAATTTTCCCCTAGCTCTTTACCACTGGCTCTTTCTAAATACTTCCCAGTCCCACTTGAGAAGTTAGTGATTGCCTGATTGCTAAAAAGTGATTTTCTGTCTTTAGGAGTGCTCCCCCTACATGTTGATAGTAGACAGGCCAATATCTATAAAAATAAAGATCTTTCCTGGACGTGAATATGAGACTTTTCCAACTCTACATTTGGGG